ATGAGTACAAACTCCCACAGAAACACGTAATGAAAAAGCAATCTAAAAGCACAACTAACCAGAAACTCCCCTTAAATTCTAAGAATATTGCCTGTTTTTCCTGAAACTGAGAGAAGACAGCCTTTTATGGGTCTAGATTCCTTCCTTCTGGAGTGGTAGAAGGGGACAGTGTGTCCGCAGCCTGAGGGAAAGAGTAGAAGCCCCTGGAGTCTGGCTATGCCTGTTTTAGAATCATGACCTTATTTAGAGCCCAGTGACCCTGTGGCAAGCTTTGTTGAAATGGGCTTAATGTGTCCAAAGACCTGCTTGTCCAAAGAGTACAACCCAGTGATATCTGTGTATTTACCAAGTCATGCAACCATAACCACATCTAATTTACAATACTGTCATCTCCATAGGGAACTCACTCCTTTACACTCTCCCCATCCCTATGCCCACCTTACCTGGGCAGTCATTCCCACTTATGGAGATTTGCCTGCTTCCTGTAAGTAGAGCCACACAGTCCCCACCTTTGGTTTGTGCCTCTTCTAGTGCCTAGTCCTCTGTGGCTAGCCTTACCTGCCTGAGCTCTGGGGTCCAGCACATGACAAGAACATCCCAGCTCTCTCCTCTTTGATGCTCCTGGTCACTGAGACACTTATGTATAGTTGCTGTCCTGCAGCCTGCAAGGATGGATTCATGGTTTGTCATTGTGTGTTAGCTGTTCCATCTCCTTTCACTTAGACTCCAATGGCCACAGGTTCAGTCTGCCTGCGTGACCCATGTAGGTGCAGCCATGTCCTGTAAGGAGTGAGCTCTGTCCCCTTCTCTGCCCTGTGTGGGTCAGAAGTGAGGGCTGCTTTTGCATGCCCAGTGACCTTTACCCCAGGGTCTGGTCACTCAGCCTTATTGCCAGTAGCTTTCTGTCCTGAGTCAGGTCCAGTGATCAGAGCAGCAACTCCGGTTGTTTCCCCTGGTACAGGACTCTCAGGGTGGGTTGTTTGGGGGGGGGAGGAGAGAGTAGGTAGTTGGCAGATTTAAAATAAGCTGAAACCACTCTCCGTGTCTGGGCTCAGAAGTGAGCAGGTCCTGTGGTGAGCCCTAAGAGACACCTTGAGATGCTATTTGTCTTGAGAGATTGAGATATCATAATCCCTGGACTGTGTTCACAAGTACACATGGACACACTTGGCCTGTGGTTGAGGGAAGGTGTGAATCTGGTGTGTAGTTGGCAGAGGCCTGTGTGGTACGAAGGCCCTCACTGCCCGGAGAGCTGTCCTTTGTGGTCTGCAGATCCCTACTCTGGGAGTGAGTGGAAGGCAGCCTCCAGCCTGAAGTTTCCCTTCCAGAAGAAACAAATCTAGCTAGATTTGTCAGGGTTCTGCACCCACTTTCAGGATATCTGGTATTCAGGATTGTTCTAAAAGGGTGTAGGGAGGCTTGTGTCCCAGAGCATCACATTCTGCAGAAGAGGACTCATGGGAACCTCTCGAGTCCTGCTTGAGTGATAGCTCTCTAGTGCTGGGAATACTCAAGTTCTGAGTGGCCTTGGGCTTGTGGCCATTGCTAGTTGTGTAGCCAAAGATGGATGAGAAGCTGGGTTTCTAAGACCCTTTTCTGCAGGAATGCAACGTTGGGATGTTGACTAAACATGTGTTTTAGAGCTCCACTTGCATCTTTCTTCAAGCAGGGGAGCCTGCTCAGTCTGATAGAACCCCACTGTCTCCAGTCTTCACCAGACCTGCTAGAAAGAACGTTCCAGGGCCTATGTGGGGACTCACCAGTGGATGAGCTGTCCCATGAGGGGCAGACAAAGGGCAGGTTAACACCTGCCCAGACCGCGGAGCCCTCTAGGAAAGCCTGCTGAGTGCAGCCGTCACCCTCCAGCAGCCCTATCACTGGTCTTTAGTGTGACTATCTGACAAAGATGTATAGCCAGTCCATAGTTAGCTGGGAGGCACACCAGGAGTCGAGAACATTGCAGCTCATGTGGAGAGAAGATCCCAGGGACTTTGAGAAGGATGTAGTGTGTACTGGGTCCAGCTAAAGCTACAGAGTTCCATCAAAATGGGGACACAGTGACATGATGAAGTGACGTAATTGAGACTGGTGAGGGAGATGACAAATTATACCAGTTTCTTTGAATGGTGGCAGGGTGTTAAATCTTCCTGTTAGAGTGGCCTTGTCTTTAGTGTAATCTGGAACAGTCCTTGTCCTGCTCATGTGAGCTGTACCAGTTGGATCCTCTCTGTGCTTTGAACAGGAGTGATGTGACCAAGGTTAGAGGATGGACAGTGGGAGACTGTTCCTGAGTGTTGACTGTTCTGGGCACAGAATATTTGGGAGTATAGTGCCCCTTAGGCATGTGAGGTTACCCTAGTTTCCCGTTTGCTCATCCATTGCCCACAGTGAAGAGGCGCAAATGGCTACTTGAAAAATCTATATCTTAATTTTATTTCCTTAAAAATTCATCTGATACCAATATGGCAAAAATGTTAAGCCCCAGTGGTTATTTTTGCACTTCAGAGTTCTGGGTTTGAGTTGTTTTATAATATTTCTCTCCTACAATCTGAGTGGAAATACAGTGTCCTTAGGGATGGTGACAGTAGACAGGTCTCTGGGCAGAATACCAACCCATTTTAATTGCCTTTTCTGCACTGGACCAAGGCAGTTGAGGCCGACCTAGTAACACCTGTTTGGTCCCCACATCTAAGATGTAGCAATACCCAGGCTAGCTGCTGGCTGTTCTGCTAGTGAAACCTGTGGCTTTCTGGGCTGTAGCTCTGGTGGTCCCTTGCTGAGCCCCTGAAGTGCTGACTGACCTTTGTGAGCTCAGGCCCTGCACCCACAGCCTGCTTCCTCCTATTCCTGGGTCTGCAGTGATGTGTCCAAGTGTCTTCCTGCTGTCTTGTCCCCTCCCTGCCAACTTTGTTAGTCCCCTCTGTCTACTCCCGTGATATACATGACCGAGCCTGGATCCTTACCTTATTCATGGAAGTGCTGTCTGCCTAACTGTCCTTTCAGATTTATTGATCTGTTCTCTTTAGTACTTTATTAATTAGTCATGTGAACAAGGTTCTGCGGCTGTCTAGACCTTTGCTGTCGCTAAGAAGTGTCTGTTTGTTCTGGTTGGGTCAAACCCTAACAGCCTTCTTGCACCCCAAAGGTCTTCTTGCTAATCTGAAACTCTTGCTGTGATCCGGACTTGGTGGTCTTGCTGTGGTCTGGGCTCTGGTGGTCCGTCTGATTTGGCATCCATCAGAGACAAGTGTTGCGGGTTTTCTTTAAAAAACCAGGCAGGCAAATGATTCGTAGGAGTGGCTCCAGTTCCTGGCCTTGGTCAGGAAGAGCAAGAATTAATATTTAACTGCCTGTGTTAGCACAATGAGAACAGATCCTGGTCTGCAGTGTCTCTGCCTCAGCCCATGCTGCCCTGTGGTTAACCCTTCCCTGGAGAGCTGCCTACAGCTCAGCATAGAGCCATCCCCAGTCACTAAGCACACTGCATCTGTCACAGCTGCACTGCCAGGCATGGGAATGAGTCCTTCTCAGGAAGTGTGTGAGACCTTTTCAAGATGTGAGAAGAACCTCAAAGAGAGGCCTGAAGGAGCCCAAATACCCCAGGAGCTGCATTTGTGTGGTCACTGATTTTCTCCAGGGCTCCTATTTTATAGACTGGGAGGTGTTTTCACCCCAAACCTTCTCTCCTAGTGAAGGGTAGAAAGGAAACTGTTAGCTCCCCTCTAAGTGGGTGCCCCTGAGGCCATGGTGTGACTTCAGTCTTCAGCGTCTCAGTGGGGGCTCATGGCTATTCCTGAAGCTCAGCCACTGCCTGTGAAGCTTAGTGCAGTGCTCTCTGTGGGGAGGGGTAGTCACCAGGCACTAAGAGGTATTTGTGCCTTCTCTTTCCCTGTGTTTGCAACACTCATCTCAGTGAAGAGATCTGACCCCGAGGGGGCAAGGGGCACCAGGGCAGCTGTCCATGAACAGGGGGTGAAGCCCTCCCCACTTGGCTGGCAGAGGTCTGATGTGTGGCTCTCAACAAGGCCTTGGTCACCATCCCCTGCACTCAGCTTTCCCACAAAACTAGAGGCTCATAGAAAGGAAGGCAGCACGTGAAATTATCTCCAACTGGGAGGGGCTGCTGGGCCTTTGTTCTGACTAAGGTAGTACCTGCTGGGCAGCCAGGTCCCTTGTCCCTTAGAGGGTTCAAGGTGGTGGGTATGGTTTAGTTGGAAGGTCTCTTTGAGGAACTAAATCCTGAGATCCTGATGAGGGGGTTGCTCACTGGGCTCATTGTGGGCTGAGACCAGTCAGTGCTCTGGAAGTGGCCATGTTGCATCTGACTCCAGGGCTGGGAAGTATCTCCTGTAGTGGTTGTATTCATCCTGTCTGGCTCCCGAGGAGCCAGCCTGGTATACTGGGCAACAAATGGGAAGAGCTTCATGGCCTCAGCAAGCAGGTAGTTGAACAGAGGGACTGATCATGTAAAAGGACTGGAGAGAGAGCCAGGAATCATGTAACTGGAATGTAACTAGAATAGGTGCTAGGCTGCTCAGCAATACCTTTACTGGCCGTGAACTGGGAATGTCCCTAGCAGCAAAGGTCATTCAGGAGGGAGGTGAGTCCCCGGCCCTTCTGGTCTTCTGGGCCTGGCACCTGACCATATATTTGAAGTACACAGTCCCCCTGCCTCATGCTTTTCTGTCAGCACTCAGTGTTAGAGTGCACTGGGCCTCTCCTTGAGCAGATAGCCACTCTCTGTGTCAGTGTCTGCCTGGGGAGTTGGCTACAGAACTGAAGCCAACCTGTAGGGTTAAGCCAGTCATGTGTCCAGGCTGTGGTAGGGAACTGGAAGCCCCATGTGACCTTCCACACCATCAGAATGCACTCAGGTGGGGTGGGATGGGACTGTGGCCTCCATGTCAGTAGGATGGTCTCTGTTTCAGTGTGACAGCATTGTGGAGAGGACCTGCACCCTAGGCTCCAGGCACAAGCTGACAATGCTCTTTTCGCCACAGTGTGCAGGGGAAGAGAACTGGGTGGACAGTCGGACCATCTACGTGGGACACAAGGAGCCCCCTCCGGGCGCAGAGGCCTACATTCCACAGAGATATCCTGACAACAGAATCGTCTCCTCCAAGGTAGCCTCACTTTCTGCCATGTTTCTGCCTGAGGGAGGCTGCCACAAGGGACAGCACCTTCTGAGCAGCATTGGTACTTCTGTGCAGCTGTCCCTAGGGTGTCACTGCTTTCCCAGCAGCCACGTTGCTCCTGCACTGCTGTCCCTGAGCCAGGCAGCACCACTCCACTCCTACTAGGGTGTCATGGATACTTTGCGAGGCCTCAACATCTCCACTTCTTTTTAATCTCCCCCAGTAGAGGATCAGACTTGAAGTGGAATGCCTGAGCCACATCTCAATGCCGTCCCTTACCCATACATTTCCTGGCTGTGCTGGCAACTAGGCCTGCCAGCCTGCTAGCTCGGTGCAACAGACAGGGAGGGAGAGGGCAACTGGATCTCTTCACTGGAGTGAAATGCTTTGTCGTCAGCAGGATGCAGGATGTGGTCCACATGGAGAGAATCTGAGTGTTTGAGCGCGCGCGCGCGTGTGTGTGTGTGTGTGTGTGTGTGTGTGTGTGTGTGCATGCATGAATGTTCGCACGCTTGTACATGTGCAATGTGAGTATGGGTGTATGTGCCATCTATGTGCACACAGGTTCTGTACAGGATGCCCATGAAGAGCAGAGAAGCCTGACTGAGCTCTCTGAGGGGCCAAGGGGCTCTGCGGCTGACAGGAGCCCCAGCAGTGTTTGGAGAGCTAGGGAATCTACCACCCCAACTCCTTTGCTCTAATCCACTTGGGGTGTGTTGCCCACAGTGGCTCTGAGAGGCTTTTTCTTCTCTTTTTGTCCCTGGAGAAAAGGAACAACCACAGCCTCCTTGATTTCTGGAAAGGAAATCCACAGGGTGGTTGTGTGGGAATCGCAGGTCCCAGGGGGTGCTCAGAAGCAATTTCTCCTAGAGAGGCTTCTTCATACCAGGAAGCTTTCGAGCAGGAACCAACAGAATTAAGTCAACACTCTTGGCAGAGAGTGGCCAGAGGGAGGACAGGCCAGGAATTGGCAGAACCACTTGAGCACTTTCATCTCAGCCTCTTGCAGGCTCTCAGCATGAGGCATGAGCACCTGTGGCACATCAGTGCCTTATCTCAGTGACAAGTAGCCAGTGATGTTTCAGGGGAAAATGTACACAGCCTGGCCCCTGTACCAGTCAAATTCAGGAAGGAATTTGGACAGGAGGCAGGACTCTGGACCTCAACTGACACTGGGTTTATGCAAACTGAGCTGGGCTTATGCAAACTGAGTGCAAGTCTATGAGGCATCATTGGGAATTTGTAATTGTTTTTGCTTAAATAACAGCTCAGATGTGTGGAAAGTGCTAATTTGTTCAACAGGTATAAAAAAAGGTTTGTAGAATATGTCTATAGTAATGGGTATGTGCAAGGAAATTTTTGTTTCTACCTTAAAAATGCCAAAGAATGCCTCAGAGCCTAGCAGTTTGATTAAACCAGGGAGCTGTGGTAGTGTTTGTCCCATGAAGAATCACAAGAAGGCCTTAACATGCCTACCATTGCATTAAGCCTCAATCTGTGTGGCATGGATGTCATTACTAGTAGTCAGTGATTGACTGGTGTTCCCATTTCATCTTTGGGTACTCAGTGTCATGAAAGAAGGAAGATGAAAATGACTGCCTTCATGGTTCCTCCTGGCCTCTTGCCACACATAGTTCCCCATTGCCCTGTGTCTGGGGGAGACTGGTCTCAAGTACGGTGCTGCTTATTGCCTTGTGCAGAATGGTCCTCAGGGCATGACATTCACAGGGACCCTTGCTTTGCCTTCAGGAGATTGCCAAAGTAAATACTGGCTCCACCGGCATTGCCTACCCCCAGCCCACACCCACACACCCAGTGTGTCCAGGAAAGCTGGACTATTTTTGATTATTGTGAAATGATTACCTCTGCCATTTTGTATATAGTATTTTATTGATGGATATTTATACAGATGACTTCTGTATTTACCATGTCACTTAAACACTGAGCAACCTTCTGAGGCTACAGCTTATTTATGAAGAAACTAAGGCTTAGGGACAGGAACATATCAGTTGCCACAGGGTAGATAAGTGACCTTAAGCCATACTGGTCTCTGAGTATGGAGTTCCTTCTGTGGGCCATTGTTCCCCCCAACTCCCTCCTAAACCTGTCATGATGTGCCTTCATCTCCCAACACCGTCAATTCTGCATAGCATTGAGACTTCCTGTCTTTGGCAGCCCCTTTCCTAATTCACACAGGAAAGTGGTGGCTTGACTCCATGCAAGCTGATTACAGGCCAGTATCTAGTTCTGGTGCTTTTGTGGGGTACAAGCACAGGTCTGAAGGCTGGATCAGCCTGTGGCTGAAGCTCTGGAGCCTTCTTACTTCCTGGCTGCTGACAGAAGAGTTTCTAATTCCTCCCAGTGTCCCATTGACTTGGGACAACATGTAGAATAGGTAGGACTTCTGTAAGCCATCCTCCAGGATAGCAACACAAAGCCAGAGATTGGCACACTCAGCGGTGCAGGAGGCTGTGTGGACATGAAACTCACAGGCCAGTGGGGGAACCCACTGCTCAAAGCGAGGATGCAGAGGGGCCACTGGGCACTCTCTGCTCAGTGTGAGCACAGAGAGGCCAGTGAGCACCCCAGCTCAGTGTGAGAACACAGAGGGGCCACTGGGCACCCCAGCTCAGTGTGAGCACAGAGGGGCCAGTGGGCATAACTCTGCTCAGGATGAGGACAGACAGCTCAGCAGACCCTGGCCCCAAAAGTGTGCATGAGTGTGAAGCAGGGCTTATTAACTGTCCCCTGGGATTCAGCATGCCTCAAGACATCTTCATGGGAGAAAGAGATGCTGTGACCTCCTCATTTTCCTAGCCCCCTTGCGCGTGAAGCAGCATTTGTTCTCCCCTTCATCATTGATAACAGACTTTTCCAAGTTGGGAGACTTTCCACTACTGATGGGAGAGTGGAAGTAGAACTCGATACCTGAGTGTAGATGACACTGAGACATTGTGTGCTGGCCACGAGTCTCCAAAGTACGTAATCTTTTACAGATCAGCAAGATAAAAGATGCATGACTGACCTGCCACTATCACGTTACCAGTAGCAGCTCTTATAATAAAGTGCTCCAGTTATGTATGTGTGAGAACATGTAGATTGTCATTTAGCAGCTACAGCAAAACCTCCAACTATGACTTTAAAGCCACCCGTAATTAGTGACTGCTACAGATCAGGGGTTTCCTTCAGTGATGGCCTGTATCATAAATCCCAAGCCCTCCTTTGTTATCTAGACATTCCAGAGGCCTGTGGTCTGTTCCAAATTTTGATCCTTTTCTTTATTCCAAAATAAATCTTTCTTCATTGACTGATAGGAAAGTATCATCAGTATGTTTGGAAAGATTCTACCAGAGCTTCCAAATATAAAATATTTATTTATTTACTCATTATAATTCTGGGAATTGAATCCAATGCCTTGCACATGCTAGGCAAGTGCTCTGCCACAGAACCATGTCCTTAGCCCCACCCCCATTTTTTAAATTTTATAAAAATTGAAACATCTTAAAGTTCTTCCCCATCATTCAGCAAGTGGTTTTTTGCCCCATATTGAACTGTGTGCCAACTGCTGCGCCTGTCTCTCCCTTTATCCTCTGAGTTTATTCTGAAAGAAATCCTGATGCCAAATGATTGTCAACTGTAAATATTTCAATAGAGGAAACATTGGGTATCCATCAATATGTTGCTAAGTAACATATTACAGAAATTGAGGGGATTTTTCTTTTAAACAGGGTCTGTCCACATAGCCCTGGCTGACCTGGAACTCATTGTGTAGATCAAGATGGCCTTGAACTCAAAGAGATCCTCCTGAGTGCTGGAATTGTGTGTGTGTGTGTATGTGTGTGTGTGTGTGTGTGTGTGTGTGTGTGTCTGTATATATGTGTGAGTACAGGTACCCATGGAGGCCAAAAGAGGGGGTATCAGATCCCCTAGAGCCAGAGTTATAGGCAGTTGTGAGCCACACCATGTGGGTGCTGGAACTATTTTGATTAACAAATGTGCAAGTAATGAATCTTGGCTTGGAAATAAGTTTGGCTTTATAGAGTGGGGCCTTAAGATCATTCCATTTGCCTTTAATCCCAGCACTCAGGAGGCAGAGGCAGTTAGATCTCTGTGAGTTCAAGGCCAGCCTGGTCTACAAAGTGAGTTTCAGGACAGCCAAGGCTACACAGAGAAACCTGTCATAAAACCAAAATTATAATAATAATAATTCCATTTGTTGATGGTTATTAAAAAAACAAAACACACACACACACACACACACACACACACACACACACACACACACACAAAATCCTATGTTTGTCCCAGAAATATGAAAGAATGAGGACACACAGATACTGCCATCATAGATGTATGTCTGTAATGCTTCCCTTAGAAAGCTAATGGAAGGTATGGATTTTTTCTTTTTTTCCTTTTTTTTTTTTTTCTGTCCAGTTAAGGAGAAACGTATGTTTATCAGAATCTGAAGAGAAAGGCTGTGTGTACAATGTTTGTCAAGTTCTAGAATTTCAGCCTTCATCATGAGTCTGCTTTAGCCAGGGCTCTGAGCGTCATTAAGTCCTTCCCAGGATGTGTGTCACATAGACAAGGACACTAAGACTTGAGAGTCATGAGAAAAAGTGCACAACCTCCATGAGAGAAAAGAAAGATCCTCCAAGGAGAGGGGAGATATGTTCATGGGCAGGAAGACTGTGCTGTTAGATGTTGCTCCTATTGACATGACCTGCAGTCTCCACAGCACTAATCAGAGTCGCCACCAGTGACTTTGAGGGCCTCCTCATTCATACCTCTAAATTCATAAAGGACATGTAGAGGGTAGCACTGTTCTCAGTATAGACACTGGGCAGTCAATTTGGAGACTATGTAGTGTGGGGAGCATCCTCTTTTCTCGCCCTATAAGTACAGCAAAGGGCCCTTGCACTGGCTACAGACAGATGCAGCACCCTGCAGTGTGGACACTGTGCCCTGCCATCAGGCAAGCAGCCTCCAGGCAGCTCAGATTCTATCCCTTCTGCTGCATCTCTCAGTTGTATTGGACAACAGAGGAGAGGTGAGAAGACAAAGGAAGTGGCAGCTCGGAGCAAGAGTTGTGCCAAGTCTGCACTGGGCCTGAGTGAAGAAATTCTCTGTATGCGCACACTAACTTTTGCCAAGCGCTCTGCTTTCTGCCTTGACTCGATGGGCCAGGCCATTCAGACGTGATTACTTCAGAGGGTACACTTTGTCTTAGCAGTTTGTCTTAGGGCATTGTATAACACTGACAAAATGTCAATAATCTAAATTCTGGTGAGTTTGTACCTAAAACTAAAACTTTGCACTCTCTACCTGCTCTTAGGTACTAGGACACAACAGAAAGTGACCTATTCTTGCTTTTGCTTTATACAGTACACATTTTGGAACTTCATACCTAAGAACCTGTTTGAACAGTTCAGAAGAATAGCCAACTTTTATTTTCTCATCATCTTCCTGGTGCAGGTAAGGACAGCCCTGGCCCTCTGTCTCAGCAAATGTCATTGGATTCTCAAGAAGTGAAATACAGTCATTAAAATCAGCAAGGATCTGACACGCCTCATCTGCCATTCATTCTTGGGTTCTCTGATTCCAGCCTCAAGAGGAGACAGGGCAAAGTCTCCAGCCACACCTGACATATCCATTTATTCATTCTTGATTCTCAGGAAATGCATAGCAGTTGTACATCCAGAGAGACAGAGATACAGGGCGGGGACACAGCAAGGGTGTGGGTAGGGAGCAGCTGGTGGATTGCACTTTGTGGTATGTTTCTCTAAATTATTCCAAGTATGGCTGTAAATGACTGTAAAATCTCTCCAGCATGGACGCTGTCAGAACAAATTCAGGTGTGAGCCTGCAGAATGACCTAAATGAACCATTGTATCCAGAGTCAGACTTGTGCCCTCACCACATCCTGACATGGTTTCCTAGAGCACACTCCTTAATTAAGGAACCTCCCTCAGCATCATAGTCACTAGGACAGGGTGGTGTCCCTCTTGTCCAGGTTGCAAGGCAAGGAGGGAGCCAGTAAAGTGTTTAGGTGGAAAGAAGCTGTCTGAGGTTGCTAGCAAGTGTTTTCAAGGTGAACCCAGGGCTCTCTTGTCCCCACAGTTGATCATCGACACACCCACAAGTCCAGTGACGAGCGGGCTCCCACTCTTCTTCGTCATCACTGTCACAGCCATCAAGCAGGTAAGACTCACAGGTTGACCTTGTAATGTAAGGTCCTGTACAACATGATGTATTTCATTTTTCATAGTTAGATTGGTGTTAGTTTTTTGAGAGGGTGGCTACAGATGTGTAATGCCATTTTTTAAAATCAAAAATATATTGTGTCAATTTGACTTACCCCGAGGATGTCAGTCAGATACGATTGTCCACCTGCAATACAGTCACCTGTCTTATTTCCTTACCATGAAGTCCTTTTGCCCCTCCCCCTGCCACACTCTACTTTGGAAGCAAGTTACCTAGCACAACCAAACAGTAAAGGAGTCTTGAAGACATGGTTCCTCTCCTTCATAAACACATATGTAAATTATTTCAGATTCTTATTCAGGAAATATTTGTCTAATGCCCATTTACTTTTACCCAGTGATTTGCTATTATCAATATGGATCTATAAATATTTATTTTAAACTTTGGGCTATAATCCAATAATGCTCCAGTGTTTAAATTTTTCTTGCTCTAGCCATTACCAGTTCATTCAGTTAGAGTCTGAATTCCTTTAACATGCCTTCTCATTGGGTTATTTATTTGTTTATTTTATTTGAGTATGGGGGCGGGGGATTCCCTTCTCTTTTACTGAGCTAACATTAGCCATCAAACAGCACACAAAGACTGAGACATAATTTAAATGCCTTAAAATTTACCCTGGTGTTTCCTCAAAAGTTTTATGTTAATTTTATGTTCATTTTAAATATGATACAATATATAAACCAAATTATATGTGCCTTTATTCTGCACGTAGATATTCAATAACAGTTGATAAAAAGATCATCTTTTCCCCATTTTAAGGGTTTATAGCTGTACTGCAATTTATTTAACTGATATATCTGTGTCACTAGGTTTTTTTATACACTAGCTTCATTACTGTAGGGCTCTGTAGTAAAATTTTGAAGTTGAGTGTGTAAATGGAACAACCCTGTCACTTTGGCCTTGACCCTTCCATTTTCACATAAATTTTAGGATCAGATTATCAAGTTTTAAAAATATTTAAAGCCGGGCGTTGATGGCGCACGCCTTTAATCCCAGCACTCGGGGGGCAGGGGCAGGGGCAGGGGCAGGTGGATCTCTGTGAGTTCGAGACCAGCCTGGTTTACAAGAGCTAGTTCCAGGACAGCCTCCAAAGCCACAGAGAAACCGTGTTTCGAAAAACCAAAAATAAATAAATAAATAAATAAATAAATAAATATATTTAATTAAAAAGTTAATCTCACAAGCAGGGAGGCAGGTGTTCATACTGCCACAAGGGGTCACCTCCACTCAAGGTGGGGTGTCTCGTTTGTCTCAGCTGACTCATAGGAAGGTAAGACTATGGAAAGTTGGTTTTCTTCAGGCTGAAGTGAGTTAGAAGCAGTCAGTCACTGGTTTTGTGCCCGTGAATGGGAAAAGGAAAGAGATCTGTACATTCTGAGCCAACCAGAGCAATCCAGTATATAGTCCAGCCTCCAGGACAGCCTCTGCCTCTGCTGACCCTTGAAGCAGCCAGTGACTGTATCTGCTAAAGCTGTCTCAGGGACACACTGTTCTTTCTAACTGGTCTTTTTCAGGTAGCATATTGTTCTCAAGGTTTACCCACACTGTAGCATGTCAGCGCTCCGATCCATGTCATAAATGAGAAATACTCTGGGGTGTATGTGTGCTTAGGCCCCCATTCATTTATCCCTCAGTCTGTCTATGGGATTTGGTACTCATTTTAACACTGCTGAAGCACACTGTTGAGAGTATTTGTGTGGACACTGATTTGATCTTTGTTCCTAGTTCTTTATATACTTAATTTATTTTGATGTTTCCCTTTCTCTGCCCCTATGTATTTATATTTTAGTTAACAAAGAGTAATTGTATATGTTGTGTCTGTGGGATGGACATAGATTGATGGGGTATGTCTACAGGTAGATTACTCTAAGCCTCTGAGCACATGTCTCCCTCCCTACACAACAGAACACTTTCCCGCCAGTGGTCTGAAGGCTCTGCCACTGATACTTGGTGCATTCAGCCCATTGTAGCCATCTCAGTTTGTGCCTGGTAGTGTCTTACTCACATGTCCCTGATAGCCTGTGAGGTTGGGGACCTTCCTATGGACTGAGAAGCCATCTGTAAATAGTTAGAGGGGCGTCCTTGGCCTGCTTTGTATGGCTAGTTCTTCTGCTACAGAGCACTGGATGGTGTGAATTTGCATTTTGGTATTTAGAATCCACTTTTTCCTTAGGGATCTGAATAATTTGCAGACTGTCAGTTTCCAAGTAAATTCTTTCCCCAGAAAGAGCAGCATAGCCACCCAACAGCAGGTACTGTAGGCGGCTGGCCTCGGAACTCACCCTCTTCTGACAGGTGTGGGAGCAGGTGCTTCAGGCAGTTGGCCCCGGGGACTCACCCTCTTTTGACAGGTGTGGGAACAGGTGCTGCAGGTGACTGGCTCCCAGATTCACACGCTTCTGACAGGTGTGGGTGCAGGTGGCTGGCGCTGGGACTCATGCTCTTGTGACAAGTGCAGGAGTCTCCACATTGCCCAGTCTGCTTTCTTATACACCTCAGGACCACCTGCCTAGGTGTGGCACTGCAAACAGTGAGCTGGGGCCTTCTACGTCAATTATTAATCAAGAAAATGCCCGACAGAATTGCCTATAAACCAACCTTTTTTTTTGAAATATAAATTTATGTGTACTTTTTCTTGTTTGTTGAAACAATCTTTTTATTTTACATACCAATCCAGTTCCCCCTCCCTCCGCTCCTCCCACTTTCTCCCTATTGACCAATCTTATGGAAGAATTTTCTCAATGACTAGCATATGTTAAGTTGACAAAAAAAAAAAAACAGTACAGACAGCTTATCTAAGACAATAATTTTTTAAAGTACTTACTTGCTGTTGGTTTCTCTCTCATTGCTCACTTGGGAGTCATCTGGAAATGCAGCTTTGAAACATTTACCCTCTGTTTCAGACCCTTTAGGTTACGCCTGAAAGTCTGCAGAGTAGGTGGGGTGAGTGTGATTGACAGACTCTTTCTGTACCTGTGTGCTGCTGAGCACTGTGGAGACTGTCGTAGAGTCCTGAAGCCTGGCTCAGCTTAGGATAAGTCTTGGATTTGTATGGAAGTCTAGTTACAAAGATTTTATCAGTTATAACTGCAGAAACATAAAGCAGCCTAAGTTGGTGTTACCAGGGAGATGTGAGGAAACCCTGGGCAAGACCATGTGTAGCCATAATTGCTTTAAGCACATCTCTCTATGTCTGTTTTAGGGTTATGAAGACTGGCTTCGCCACAAGGCAGACAATGCCATGAACCAGTGTCCGGTGCACTTCATTCAGCATGGCAAGCTGGTCCGGAAGCAGAGTCGGAAGCTGAGAGTAAGTGGCACACCCACTCCATCTGCCTGGTTCATGGATGTGCTTTTCAGAATCATTTTCAAAGTAACTTTTAAAAGCGGATTTGGCCATTAATGGACCTGTTGTAGGATAGTTACACTGCCCTCTCTCATTTTGTTGGATATTTGAATGGTTTAAGTTGTTGGAGCAGCTTGCCTTTCTGCCTATACTGACCACCTGAAAACACTTGTGTTTGTACAGACAGGATGGCTTTTCAAGCTTGTCTCTGGATCACAGCCCAATTCTGACTTTAGTCATCACCTGACTGTAAATTTGGACTCATTCTCTTCCTGCCTCTCCTTCTCGGTACCCCTCCCATGCCCAAGCCTCCCCTGACTACACCTCACTCCCTCTTAGGCAGCTCTGCTATCTGTACCGACCATATCCCCAACTGCAGTCTGCCCCAGCCGGGGAGTTCAGCCAGCCCTGGTATAGGATTAACCTTACTCATCCCAGCCTGACACCAGCCAGCTGTTGAGCTTGAGGTCAGAGGGTAGCTGTAGCACCCAGACACATACGGTGGAGCAGCACCCCTTCCAAGGATCACAGACACATACTTGCTAGGCCCATTCCACATATTGATCTATTGATACATGGCTATGTATATGTTTACTTTAAATATGTGTGATGTATAAATGCCCTTTGGTGTGTCACTGCTTCCAAGATGTTTCTGTGTTTTCACTGGGACGGTCTTTCCTGGTGTGGTCTGCAGCTACTCTGGTCTTCAGTGGCCCACGGCACCCAGAGAAGCCTTGTTCCAACAGAAAGCCTCAGTGTGGGTCTTTCCTAGAATCATGTCAGTGTCTCATAAGACACTGTGGTGGTGTCTTAACACACTCTGAATACAGTAGGAGAATGAATTCCAGCCCAGAATGAATTGTCACACCAAGGTGGCCTCACAATGACCGTTCTCCCTGTGTCTTGCAGGTTGGGGACATTGTCATGGTGAAGGAAGATGAGACCTTTCCCTGTGACCTGATCTTTCTCTCCAGCAACCGGGCAGATGGGACCTGCCATGTCACCACTGCCAGTTTAGATGGAGAGTCGAGCCATAAAGTAACGTGCCTGGATTTGTGGTGCAGCTTGGGGGTCTTTGTCAGACTGGATTTTGACAACAGATGTGACATCCTGGGTGTAGACTAAGCATGTCTATGGTCACAGCTCTCTGGGGGCAGGGGTGTCATGTCCTCTAACCTTTAACCTTACTTTTACTCTTTTCTATTTTCAGTTATTTTCTTTCCTCCTTTAATGTTTGTGACAGCCACCATCTGCGGTGGGCAGGTGTGTCTGCCATTACCCAATGAGAGACACAGTAGATTGTTAGGGTATTAACGTTTTCTCCTTCTTAGTGCAAGCATGTGTCTTTCCTAGTCTAGGACTGTGTGAAAGTCAACCAGAAGTACAGATTTTATCTGTTATTTCACTGTTAAACATCTTAAGAAAATTTTCTGTAACTGTAATTAATGGGTTGAACTCTATACAGAATTCTACACTAGATGTAAAAGCTTTGATAATCATGAGAGAAAAGATACATAGTTCTGTTAACTTATACATTTGGCTTTTTAACTTAAAACTCTGGAAGGAAGAACTTCTGTGAGGCTATGAGCATAATGAAACCACTGATGCTTCTGGCAGCTTCTAGGAGCAGTAGAGAAGCATCAGCCCCTAAGACTCTCAAACAGTGTGTAAATGATTCCTGTGGGTGCAGGCAGCCCGTGCTGAGATGCGACACATTTTCACATGATTAGCAAAGGATGTGCCAATCTCTAGGGGTCATCCATGGCACTTTGTAAAGGCTATGGATGGTTTCGTATATTCTAGGTAGAGCATTCTTCTGTAAGTGCTGATAAGCAACAGTTCTTTGGGAGGGGCCTCTTGATGACTAGGGTTATTGTATCTGAACAGGGCTCATGATCTGACCATCCTAAGACCTTCTAAGTGACTCTCCTCTATTAGATAAAGCCTCCCAGGGCCTCATCTGAGGTCAGGACTCCATTCCATGGAAACCGTGATTGCTCAAACAGAATGGCTCAGTGTCTCGACAGGTCTGAGGCCCAGGGTTCTGGGCAGTGCACTGCAGCAACAGCTGTCAGTCTGGAAAATGCTGGAGTCACTGCTTCATGCTGGCCTCTTGTCTATTTGCACAATGCATTTCATTGTATTCCTGGTGTCATTTCTGTAGGTTTGGCTTAGCTCTGGTGGCTGGAGTTATGTGAACCCTTTCCTTGAAAGACAAACTATGGGCAGGCTTCTACCAACCTTGGGGAGTCTTACATTGTTCACATAACTTCAGCCTGGCCTTTTGCTCTTTCTATACTTTTTACATCTGTGAAAGGTAGTCACTCATGATTAGAAATCTCCAAATTCTCAATGTATAGCAAGTGCTTGAATGACATAAATGATGATATGTAATTACCTGTTCACTTGTTCCAACTCACACCACTTTCTCCAGTACTTGTTATTAGAAATATAAGCAGAGAATCAGGGATTCCTTCCTCCTGACAGCCCTTGGCACACGTCTCTCCTCTCATCTTTCCTTCCTTCCCCTCCCTTTCTCTCCCCTCTTGTATCTTCCTCCCTGGATAAAGGAGAAAGAATGTTTACCTGCCCGTGGTCCCCACAAGTACTGGCTAGGCCACGATTGGAGCCCTGGACAGCAGCACAGTGGCAGCTGGTATCTACTTAGAAATGCTATTCTCAGGTCTCCTGCTCAGAACATTGAGTTCTGAAAGGTGTCCTAACAGCGGTGGCCTAGCTGTCGCCTTCATTCATATTTGAGGGACCTTCTAGTCCAAGCAGCTGGACAGCTGCATAGAAGCAATGGTAGGAGGACAGTTGGTAGCAGAATTTGGAAAGTGAAGCTAACAGATACTTTTGGCATCTCCTAGGAACAATAGTACTTTGCCTAAAAGAGGAGGAGCACACCGGTGACTGATAGCTCTTACCAGGGCAGGTACATCAAATATCAGGTTAAAAGAGTCCCAGGCTTGCCCTTTGTCCTGCTGGTTTTAAGATGAGGATTCTGGGTAAGCATGAAGAGTCTTGTCACCACCAAGTAGAGCAATAGCAGAGGCTCATCCATCTTTCTATAACCTTTTGCACCTAGACTCACAATAGGACTTACAGATGTACATGAAGACCAAATTCTGGGGTGGGTGCCAGAAGCCAGGTGGAGTGGAGTTTTGGGGTGTATCTCATGCTTCCTCTCCATCTGCAGACTCATTATGCAGTGCAGGACACCAAGGGCTTCCACACAGAGGAAGATGTTGATGGGTTGCACGCCACCATCGAATGTGAACAGCCACAGCCCGACCTCTACAAGTAAGCTGAGCACACTAGCCAGGAATGTGCGCTGCCGAAAAGGTCACCTTTTGTTGCCGTAGACAAGCACTGTGCAGACTGTAGCTTCACAGAAGGAAGCCTAAGTGTTCTGTATTTTGAGGAAGTGATTTATAACTGTGTTAAGGGTCATCGAAGCCATGGGTGAAGAAGCTCAGGAAGTAAGATGAGAAAGGAGGAAGAGATGAGTGGCTGGGCCACCACTGGTCATACTGAAGATTAGGATGAGCTAGCTAGCTGTGGTGCAGGCTGGAGACCCCACTGGTACTGTGAGTAACAAAGTGAACTTTTCTGTTGCCAGGTTTGTGGGGCGCATCAATGTTTACAATGACCTGAACGACCCTGTGGTGAGGTGAGTCTTCCTGGGAATCCAGGCCTTTATCCTCTGCATTGTCGTGTTAGATGTTTATTCATGGATGGGTTCTACCATGCCACTTGGTTTAGAAGGCAGGGTCCTGCCTCATGAGCAAGTTCTACTCCAGGGTTTTGTCTGTGCATGCTGATGTAATTAATGAAGATCCTGGGATCCTTGTCCATGACTCTACCAGTGGGTAAGCTTTCCAGCTGGGCCAGGTCAGAAGCCCACAGGATGGTTCTTAATGAGGGGAGAGCCCAAACCAACTGAGAGAAACACCTTCGTGGGCTGTGACATTAGAAGTTTCCGATACAAAGGCCTGAGAGTGGTCAGCCTGGCCATGGCCATCACTGGGTTGAGATGCTCAGGGTTTCTTTCAGGCCCAACTGGGAAGAGAGGGCCTGCTACTTGTGAAGAAGTGTTGTCTGCTCTGGGCTTCCTGCTCCATCATCACTGCATTGATGCCCCTGTGCAGTCACGATACCTACTGAGAAAGAGCAGCCACCAGGGGCCTGGTATGGGCCCTGTACCACCTCACATGTCCCATCTGAGCACCACATGCTGCCATGCCACCTCAGATGTCCCATTAGAGAGCTGTCTGCCTCAGACTTCTGTGTTTGAGGAGGAAGCATTCAAATTTATTGTTCAGGGAATTGGCTTTCAGTAGGTTTTGAAGATCTTTTCTTACTGTTTAAGGAATTTTTAATTATTGATGTTCTGGTATTATTATATGCTGAAGGAAGCATTTGCTGGGAAATAGAGGTAGACTTCTTGGGGGAAAGTACCACAAAATAAACAGTCACTGGAGTCTCTGTAGCTGGCTTGTCTCAGTCAGCAGCTGCTTTAAAGGGATGCCAGTGTACTTCTTAGCATGCTTTTTTAGTGGTTATTTTTTTGTTTAATGTTAATTATTTTTGAGACCTTAGCTTACTGTTAACTAGAAAGGCCTTGAACACCCAATCCTGCAGCCTCAGTCTCCTGAGTGCTGGCTCAGTCTGGTGTCACTGTCCCAGCTCTTACCCTGGTTTGTGGTCATCATCCATCAGCAGGTTAGCAGGGCATTAACTGGGAGGAGTGTGGAGACATAACTTTTGTTTTCAAAGAAGAGTCCTTATAGCTCTAGAGACTAGACAGTGTGGAGAGCGGATGTGTTTAGGATGAAGGAGCAAGTGAGATGTGTTCTCAGGCCATTGATGAAACCGAGGGAATGTGTACTATGGGCCCAAGAATCACACTGAGGTGAAGCTGTGGCCCCAAACTGGGGACCATGGTCCTGATGTACTTCATTTTATCAGTCCCCCCTCCAAATTCCCAGTCCACTCAATTGTATTTCTCCTTCAGTGTGTCCACACTAGAAGCAGAGTATTTTGTCAAGTCCATTATGTTTAGAGCTCTCAGAGACCAGTTTAAGGTGAGGCCATTTGTGTTCATTAACATTTGTGACTTGAATTATTGGAAGCAAGTTGCTAATAGAAGTTGACAGCCCTGGACAGCCGGGGGGAACTGGTGGCTGTCAGACCAACAAAGCCACCAATTGCCAGCCAACCACTTTGATGAGGTGCCTGGGCAGCTTGCAGCCCCTTCCTCTTGCAGGGTGCAGTCTGAACCATGTTAGCCAAGCACACTGACCCCACTAAGGGTGTAATATTCTGTGCATTCACATCTGCCCAAAAGGACGGAAAAGTAAGCAAGTAAGTTACAGGCAAATGGGCTTATCTCTGATCTACCATGATCACTGGGATGTACTCCTCTCTGACACACCATGATCATTGGGATGCTCTCTTATATAATATACCATGATCACTGGGATGCTCCTCTCTGACACACCATGATCATTGGGATGTTCCTCTCTGACACACTGTGATCACTGGGATGCTCCTCTCTGACACACCGTGATCACTGGGATGCTCCTGTCTGACACACCCTGATCACTGGGATGCTCTCTTATATAATATACCATGATCACTGGGATGCTCCTCTCTGACACACTGTGATCACTGGGATGCTCTCTTATATAATATACCATGGTCACTGGGATGTGCTCCTCTCTGACACACCATGGTCACTGCGATGCTCCTCTCTGACACACTGTGGTCAGTGGGATGCAGCAGCAGGATTCACACATTTAGTTCTGCTGCTTTGAATCCTCTTCACTGCTCAGAAGAAAGGCTGACAGCTGCTCCTTGCAGATAATCTTTGCATGCCACACTTCCACTACAGAGGCCCCAGAGGCCCAGCCTCCCTTCATACTCAAAAATGTGCTTACACTAAGGAGGAACAGCTGAAGGATCAGTGAAACACAAGGTTTTAGCCCTTTCAGAACATTTTGAGGTCCCCAGCACAGCCACCCTCACTCACATTGGAAGTGTGTTGGGAGAGGGTTGCTGGCCTGCCTTTAGGCCTCTTTGTAGTAAGTAGGTCTAGATGACATTTTCAATGCCCCTGGGAATTGTGGGTGGTGCAATAGGAACCCCATCTGAAGACTCTGCCTGTGGCTTCTGGTGGAAGTGTCACTGAAACATTCAGGCTCCTGATTATTTGAGGGTGTTGCCCTGCTTCCTTGAGTCCTCTCAATATCTCTGTGAAGCTCCAGGCCCCTGTGAGTGACAGGCCAGGAAGACAGGACTAGATACATCCCAGCAGGCTGTGTCCACCTCAGAGAAGCCCAATGCTTATGCAGATGGACTTTGGCACTCTCAGTGTGAGCAAGCAAATATACACTTACACCATCTCCTCTTAGGATGATTGAGTTGATTTTCAGCCCTGTGTCATGCTGCTTCTGATTCCTTGTCTTCCAGGCCATTAGGATCAGAAAACCTGCTTCTCAGAGGCGCCACACTCAAAAACACAGAGAAGATCTTTGGTAAATACTTTAATTTGCAAAGCACTGGTAATCATTCTAAAATCTAGGACACTAAGCAAACTAAACTACACAGCACCCCACAAGGCCACTGGATGTCTTAAAGTACTGAGACTTGGTGCAGGGTGACTTGCTAAGAGATGAGTGTGTGGTGTAACCTGAACTCGCAGCCATAGCAGTGACAATCATGGCTTGCTTGTTAGGACCTCAGTCCATGACTCAGGAAGATGAAGCTGTATCCAGGGAAATATTCACAAAGCATTGTAATGCAGGAGAGTTCTCTAAGTCTGCTTGTCACTCGGTACCTCCCATTGACAGTATTCTGTTTCCTGTTTTAATTTACTGAAATAACTTTTAAAATATATACACTGTGCCCTGCTACCAGATCACCCATTAGATTAGATAAGCATTAGATTTGGACTGAAGATCCACACAGGAAAAGTCCTGAGTGTGAGGACTCCACTCACTCTCTGGTTAAGTTGGAGATGTGACCTGTTTGTGTGAGCATCCTTCTCTCCAGCCTATGGACATTTCACAGACTCTTCTGCTTCCAGGTGTGGCCATCTACACGGGCATGGAGACTAAGATGGCCCTGAACTATCAGTCCAAGTCCCAAAAGAGATCTGCTGTGGAAAAGTAAGGCCACTCCCTTGCTGCTACCTTCTAGTCATCACTGGCCCCTGTAGATGCAACAGTGTCTTGGTGGGGCCACAGCATCCTTAGGGGGCCCACAGCATCCTTGGGGGGGGGGCACAGTGCCCTGGGGCCCACTCCTCCAGAGACTGGAGCTGCTGGCCACAGAGCCCATTTCTTGGGGATTTGCTTGCTTTCCTCCCAGTGAGATAAATTACTGCACCTCTATCTCTGCTAACATGCTACCTGTAAGTCATTCCCCAAAGTTCTAATTTTAGATCAGTCACAGATACCTCATATCCCCAGCCACTAATCCAGGCAAGCCTCAAAAGGGGGGTCTTATTCAGCCCCTTCTGAAGAGGAGCAAGAATGGAACCAGAGGTAGATTATTAATTGGTAATTTATTGGGAACTATATACTCACATGAGGAATTAGTAACCAGATTTGGCACTCTGAGAAGTCCGGTCCCAGATGCTTTCTAAAGCTGGCTGAACCCCAAGAGAGAGAGAGCCTGGCTTCTCCTTGCCCTTTATCCTAACCTAACCTGACCATGTGCAGCTGGGTATCATGTGCAGCTGGGTATGGTCATTGATACAGGTATTGGGGTCTCTCCCTACACCCTTCCAACCTGGGGACTTGTTAGGAACCAAGTGTGTCCTGATGTGGTTTTACTGAGTCACTCTGAGGAGAGTGAACATTTTCCATTAGACAGTGGAATGCTGACAACCATCAGGATGGAGGTTAGACTTAGGAAGTGGAGTCTGAGGTTTTGTCAGAGATATGAATGGCCTCCATGTCACAGAGTGAAGCAGCAGGAGCTAGTTAGTTGCCATGTGCAGGACACTGGCAGGTGACCTAGGAATACCATCCCTGGGCCTATCTGCAGCTGTGCTAACTGTGAAAATGGAGATGGGCTTTTCATCAGCTAGGATGTTCTGCTTGCAGATGTCTGTGTGCAATACACAGGCTTCAAAAGCAGACTGTGAAAACAAAACCTCACCCCAATGCTGCCTCACCTTGATCCAGCACAGGCATTTCCAAGCCTCAGGCACTTCTCTGGTACCCTCTCTTCGCCCACTCCAAAGTGAAAATCATTAAGCTCTAAGCTTGTTTGGTGGCACCTGATGGCCAAGGAAGCTGACTCTGGCTGTCCCTTTTCTGTAAGCAGGGGTTCCCATGGTTCAGAGAGGTCCATCAGCCAGGTGGCAGCACATACCTTTCCCTCTCTTCCCGTGGCTCTGGTCCTGCATTTGGGCACTGGCAAAGATGGCTATGAATGAGCTGGTGTTTTGTCTTACTGGGTTAGGCTGGACACTGCCCTCCAGGGGATTGCTGGATGCCCTGTGCTGTCCCTTCGTGGTGACGAAAGACCAGGAGTGCCCCCTGAAGGCTGGCTTGTCTCGCCATAGGTCAATGAATACATTCCTGATCGTGTACCTCTGCATCCTGGTGAGCAAGGCCCTGATCAACACTGTGCTGAAGTATGTGTGGCAGAGTGAGCCCTTCCGAGATGAGCCATGGTACAATCAGAAGACTGAGTCAGAGCGCCAGAGGAATCTGGTATGGAAGCACTTCCCTTGTATGACAGAGGTGACCCTTAGGCCATTGTCACAAAAGAGATGGTGCCAGGAAAATACAAAGGCGAATTTGCTTCAGACAGGATGGAGCCTTGCCCAAGCTTAGGACAAAGGCCCTCACTAGCACATGGTGTGGGCAGGTGTGAGCAGCTGCTGTCCTTGGGTACTAGGATGCACAACTCTGGAAAGTAACCATTTCCACAGGAAGCATGTAAAGGACCAAAATCATTGGATGTTTCCGAAACTCAGCACACCATTGAGATAAATGCTGCTTCTTGTGGTAGCTAGAGGACAAAAGGCTTTGACCTCAGAGCCAGGGCCATGTGTGAACCTAGGTCTATGTGCACTGAAGTCACGTCAGGGCTGTGTGCAAATGTAGCCCTGTGTATAAGTATGGGGCCCGTGCGATGCTGTGCTCCCTCTGTCAGGTCCCTTCTAATAGCTTCAAAGGTAGGAATAAACTACAGAGAAGTCATCGGGGCTGAGTGTGGCAGAGTGGGCCTATGATCCAGCGCAAGGCTGAGGTGGATCATGAATCTCGTCATAAGTTTGGGGAATGTTAGTTATGGAGGGACATCATGAATATTCAAAACTGACATTCCCATTGGGCCCCATTTAGCATGCCCTCTCCAAGTCCCTGCCAGTGTGGTTAGTGTGAGCTCTTGTCCCTGTTCCTCCCCATCTCTCCACCATCACAGCCATCTAATTCTACTCCTGGTCGTAGCAAGACGTGACAGGCAATGGTCCCCATGGGTCTCTGTGTTTGGATGGAAATACCTGTGTTTACTTATCTGTCTGGGATAAGAGCTAACAATCTGAGGTTTTCTGTCCTTGCTATGTGACTTGCAGCTTCCTCATGCAGCCAATGCTCTCAGTTTCTCAGGGCCTTCACCGACTTCCTGGCCTTCATGGTTCTCTTCAATTACATCATCCCAGTGTCCATGTATGTCACGGTGGAGATGCAGAAGTTCCTTGGTTCCTACTTCATCACCTGGGATGAAGACATGTTTGATGAGGAAATGGGGGAAGGGCCTCTGGTTAACACTTCTGATCTAAATGAGGAGTTGGGACAGGTCAGTATCTTCTAGAGCTTGCATGATCTCTTGGCCCTTGGCAATGCACTGTGTCCTAATGGTCTGGGTTCTCCTTGGTTACTGGGAATTCATCTAGGCCGTGCACTCGGCATGTAGCTGTGCTGCAGTGGTGAGAGTCATAGTGGAAGGGCAGCAGTGGAAGCACTGTGACAAGTTTTCCTTTTTCCTAAGTGCATCTTTTTAACTTGACTTATGTAATAACAGTCAATATGCTTCTTTTAACTTTATTATGTGAAAAATTGATTGCATTAGATCAATTGGAGTGAGCTCAAATCCCCAGACTTTCTTACTTATTCTGAGCCTTGTAATTTGTAGCTGAAGAATGTGGAGCATGGTGGGAGGCCACCCTCCCTGCACTTGCTGTGAGGCATTTAACCTCACAGCAATCTAAATGAGCAAACAGAAATGTAAGGCAGTTTTCTGGGGTGGCATTTGTATTGCAGAGTTAATGAGTGCATGCTCTGCAGAGCCACAGCTCCTTTAGCTGGGGATTGGGGTGCCATGGTCTGGACACTGAATAAGTAGCAGAGGTGTGCGTCTCCACATCGATGCAGAATGAGATAACAGATGTGAGGCCATGGTCACAGCATTGGTGACAACCATCCAGGGGCCTCACCTTGTGAGGACAGGGCTAATGCACACCACAGCTGTGGCCCTGTGCTCTATATGAGGCCACCAGAGTCCCACAGAGTGAGAGGGTTGACATACACCCACATCTGCTGCCTACAGACCTCAGTGTTGCTGCATGGGAAAGACCCCAGAAAGGCTGGTTTCTTCCATCTCACCCAGTGGAGCCTCTTTTCTTTCCCAAGCCTTATGTCACCAGAAGGGCCATTTGGCAAATGGCAATTCATTAAATCAATAATCTATTTGAATTGGACAAGGCAGCCTACCCTGTCAACAGTCTGTAGACTGGCAGGCATGTATCCCCCACCTGCGTTGGGGGAAGCATTTGTTACTGGAGAGGACACTGTTAAGGTTCCAACTTTCTGATGCATTCCTTTAGGGTAGTTCATGTCCCACCTCCTGTGTGATGCATGTGGTCTGTTCTTCAGAAATCAGTTAGGAATGTCACAGAATGCCCTGGGACAGGGCATCTCTCCCAGCCTAGAGTCCATCACAGAATTCAACTACCTTGTCCTGAGCAAGACGGGCTGCAGCCTGTGTTCAGTGAACTGAGGTTGGGACCACTGGTGACTCCACATAGCAGTGGCTTCACCTGGCTGCCCAATGAATGTAGGTAAGCAACGCCTCTCAATAACATACACAGCACAGCAAGATGGCAGTTCTGTCTGTGAAACAGGAACTGCCTACCAGCCAGCATCTGTTCTGAAGCAGAAATGACTGCCTTCCAAGTAGACCTCATTCAAGGGGCTTTGTGAATTTTCCTGTGTGACCTCCCCATCCCTGTGATGTCAGCACTTGCATCCATGTCATGTGGAGGAGAACTAAAGCTTGAAAGGCTTTCCCAGCTGTTGTGGGAGTTGTGAAAGACCCATTGACCCTGCCTTCAGACCCTGCCTGTGACGTGTGCTCCAGGTTGTGGAGTGAGCAGTCTGTGCCTAGGAAGGCAGCTCATGCCTTTGATCACCACTGTGCTCAATGCAAGGGCATAAATGTGCAAGCAAGCAACAACACCAGAATGATCATTTGACATGATCCAGTGGGATTTATCCCTGGTGTTCCAGGATGGGCCAGCACACACGGTTCAGTAGACAATGTCCACACTACATTGCAGTAGTGTACAAGCCAGATGACCATCCACAGATGCAGAGAGGGTGTGGACAAAGTTTCGTGGTAAGTTAGTGGTAGAGGCATATCCTAGCACAACACAGGCCATCTGTAGCAGCCCCATAGCCAGCAACACACTCCATGGAGAAATGTCAAACTTCCTTTGGCTAGGAGACCCTGGAAGAGGCCCCCATAAGCTAGTGTTTAAACAGCAGAGTTGTTTCTAAATACAGTCTCAGTACAGCATTGCCTTGTGCTTGTGGTTTATTTGTTAAAGCCAAGCACAGGTGGGAGGGACATCTATTGGGGTATATAAGAATGATTTCCCGGGAAGACCTTTATGGGGCACCTGGTCTGGCTCTCCCTCTGCACCCCCACATGGCCTCCTCCAGAGCTGTGCGACAGCCTGGAACCTCAGCTGTCTGTGATGGCTGTGTAGACTGTGATTCACTCTCATTTACAGTTTGAAGCTGGAGGTATCTTTAGCACTCTGTGTTTTCCTTTCTGAAGTGTGTTTTGCTCTTCTCCTGGTGTGTATCCTGTCCTCTAAACCTCTTCTCATCCTGGGAGCCTCAACATCTCAGGCTCAGAGAAGGTTAGTCCCTCTCTCAGCTACTGTCCTGAGGGCTTCTCCTCATCCTGCGCATCAGACACATGGAGCCCTGGGACCCTGGAGGCCAAGTTATGCAGGGCCACAATGTATTCTGTTTCATATTTGTCACCCTTGTGAGAAAGGTAGGGCCTCTTCCCACAAAACTGCACCTGTGTGGGTGAAGGGGGATGCCATGGGTACCTACACAGGACACTGGATCTGTCATGCTCCTGTCCCTCTAGAATTGTAGTAGGCTTGGGCTAAGAATTGTCACCTGCCTAAATATGGCTTAACCTGAGTGTGTGGTACCCTTAGGTGGAGTACATCTTCACAGACAAGACGGGCACCCTTACAGAGAACAACATGGCCTTCAAGGAGTGCTGTATCGAGGGTCACGTCTACGTGCCCCATGTCATCTGCAATGGGCAGGTCCTTCCGGACTCTTCTGGCATTGATATGATTGATTCTTCCCCGGGTGTCAGTGGCAGGGTAGGTTGCTGCTCCTGGGGGTGGAGGGTGGTGTCTGTGTCACATGATCAGGGATCACATGATCAGGGATGTGAGTAGGTGGGGTATTCTCACTGGCAGAAGCTGCCCATTCATTTGGGCAACAAGACAAAGTCAGGAGTCCTTTGTAGGATCTGAGCGAGGTCATGGTTAGAATTCACCATGGTGCTGGGACTCCTTGTAAAGGGCAGGAGGTCTTGACAGTGATTCCTCTGATTGAATTGACCGGGATGGGACACACACACACACACACACACAAACACACACACACACACACACACACACACACACACACACACAGGAATACCATGGCCTTGGGGCTTAGAGTCTTTGGTCAGTGTTCAAATTCCAGCACCAGTCATATGGTAACTATGGGATAAGTGATGACTGCAGAACCTGAGGGTCCTCTGAGAGCCAGAGTGGCCTATTAATGATAGGTGAGCTGTTCACAGTCAGAACACCGGTTCCTTCGATGTGAGCTCCAATTGGTATTATTGTTTCACAAAGAGGATGGAGTAGACGCCCTGCGGCCATCCTGAGACATGCCATAGCAGCTCCACATCCTCCTGAACCCAGCCCAACTCCCTCCGACTACATTGGTTATCAGGGAAGCCCTATTGTTGGCCACTGTGCTGCCCAGCTACTTAAGACCTTAGGGATCTTCAAACTGTGACTACATGATGTAGCCAGCACTAAGGAAGCTGAGCTCAGATCTGGGTCAGCCTATGGTGACCTCATGCACATCTCTTCATCTCAGCATGGGGCTCCTGCTTCTGCTTCCAGGACTGTGTTATGATTGAGCTTCAGACTGCAGGCACACAGCTGGAGGTTAAGTCATGCAGAGTGCAGCATCCTTTGCTGATAGCAGACTACCACTGCTGCCACGAAGGTACTGTGGCCAGGAACTGGAAAGTAGGGTGTACAGGAATGAGTGTACCAATGACATAGGTGACGTTTTCTGCACTGTGACATGGCCATTCCTGAGTGTGCTTATAGCCATGCCTTCCTGATTCCTAGGAGTGTCACTATGAGCAAAACCCCTTCTTTCAGCCTTTACTGCCTGTTAATACTTACATGTGTTACCATGGCAACTCTGAAGCATGAAGCAGTCACACAGGCTTTTCTTTTGTAACCACTGAGACAAGCTAATGACAGTTTATCCCCAGACGGTCTTAGGCTCTTCTCTGTGGGCCTGTTCCAGTCTGTTGCCCCATAGCAGACAGAGTTGTCACAGTTTCCCCAACTGTCTCCACAGGAGCGGGAGGAGCTCTTTTTCAGGGCTATCTGCCTGTGCCACACTGTCCAGGTGAAGGATGACGATCACGGGGATGATGTGGATGGTCCCCGGAAGTCTCCAGACTCAAAGTCCTGTGTGTACATATCTTCCTCTCCTGATGAGGTTGCACTGGTTGAAGGTGTGCAGAGGTGAGTCAGGCTGCTGGTCTCAGAGAGTGTTGTGGTAACAGGTCTGCAGCCCAACTCATGAGTCATCCTAGGACACCCTGCATCGTGACCTCTGTGACCCCAGGTCCCTGGCACTCTTTGTGGAGGCAGATTTCCTGGCCATCAACACAAGCCCTTGTTGCTAGGTTTTCTGTGCTTATAGCTGTCTAGACAGAGCCCTGTCCCCAGGGTTTCCCTGTGATCCTAAGATGCCAACCTGACCTGGAGAGCTAGCAGCTGGATGCTAGGCCCTGCCCATCATTGCTCCATCTTTGTGTCAAGTCTTTCCATCTAGGACATTTACACTGACCCAGGGTCCTCCTGGAGTTCTTTCTAATGTGCGAGATGTGGCATGTTAAACAGACATGCAGAAAAACACTCCAGACATGGGACACAATTTCAGGTCAGGGATATCACTAAGACTCTCAGCTTACAATTCTTATGGAACAGTAAATTCCCAGTGTCCCCTCTTTGCTGCCACTAACAAATGTGTACAGCCTTCAGAAACTGACAACAGCAGGAGAACTTTTTTGTGACTAAGCAAATCTGCTTTTCCTGTACAGTTTAGGTAATAGCAATGATGTGTGAATGATAATTCCCTCACTTTGTGTCCAAGCTACCCCAATACACAGACACACACACAACAAAACAAAAGAAAAAAAAATAAATAAAACCCCAAGGCCCCTGAAGCTAGGTTTGGAAGCATTTATAGCAGTGGTTCTCAACCTGTGAGTCACAGCCCCTTTGGAGGTTGCATATCAGATATTTACATTATGATCCATAACAGTAGCAGAGTTACACTTTTGAAGTGGCAGTGAGATATTTTTTTCAGCTTTTAAAAGAAGCTTTTATTTATTTCGTGGTATGTGCACTAGAGGAAACAAAACACAAGAAGCCAAGAACAGTCTCCCAGTCACAAGCAGCTCAGCTTGCTGTGTCCTTCTAGATGTTGCAATGTACATACATTTAGGGAATTGAGGTTATACAATATGTATCAAGCTTTCCCCCACATTGTGAATATTCACCAACTAAAATATACAAAATATCAAAATACATGAGTATTTTGATAACCAAGAATACACCATGCCATCTCAGTCTGTCAGACAAAACTGTAATCCTGTCTTCCTTGGCAACAAAAATTTCATAGAAGACAAAAATGGCAGCAGGCTTCTAGATAGAAGTACTGCTGAAGTTACAATTAAAATTCTGCATTCCCTCAATGTACACCCACCCACACACACACACACACACACACACACACACACACACACACACACACACACACACAGGAATACCATGGCCTTGGGGCTTAGAGTCTTTGGTCAGTGTTCAAATTCCAGCACCAGTCATATGGTAACTATGGGATAAGTGATGACTGCAGAACCTGAGGGTCCTCTGAGAGCCAGAGTGGCCTATTAATGATAGGTGAGCTGTTCACAGTCAGAACACCGGTTCCTTCGATGTGAGCTCCAATTGGTATTATTGTTTCACAAAGAGGATGGAGTAGACGCCCTGCGGCCATCCTGAGACATGCCATAGCAGCTCCACATCCTCCTGAACCCAGCCCAACTCCCTCCGACTACATTGGTTATCAGGGAAGCCCTATTGTTGGCCACTGTGCTGCCCAGCTACTTAAGACCTTAGGGATCTTCAAACTGTGACTACATGATGTAGCCAGCACTAAGGAAGCTGAGCTCAGATCTGGGTCAGCCTATGGTGACCTCATGCACATCTCTTCATCTCAGCATGGGGCTCCTGCTTCTGCTTCCAGGACTGTGTTATGATTGAGCTTCAGACTGCAGGCACACAGCTGGAGGTTAAGTCATGCAGAGTGCAGCATCCTTTGCTGATAGCAGACTACCACTGCTGCCACGAAGGTACTGTGGCCAGGAACTGGAAAGTAGGGTGTACAGGAATGAGTGTACCAATGACATAGGTGACGTTTTCTGCACTGTGACATGGCCATTCCTGAGTGTGCTTATAGCCATGCCTTCCTGATTCCTAGGAGTGTCACTATGAGCAAAACCCCTTCTTTCAGCCTTTACTGCCTGTTAATACTTACATGTGTTACCATGGCAACTCTGAAGCATGAAGCAGTCACACAGGCTTTTCTTTTGTAACCACTGAGACAAGCTAATGACAGTTTATCCCCAGACGGTCTTAGGCTCTTCTCTGTGGGCCTGTTCCAGTCTGTTGCCCCATAGCAGACAGAGTTGTCACAGTTTCCCCAACTGTCTCCACAGGAGCGGGAGGAGCTCTTTTTCAGGGCTATCTGCCTGTGCCACACTGTCCAGGTGAAGGATGACGATCACGGGGATGATGTGGATGGTCCCCGGAAGTCTCCAGACTCAAAGTCCTGTGTGTACATATCTTCCTCTCCTGATGAGGTTGCACTGGTTGAAGGTGTGCAGAGGTGAGTCAGGCTGCTGGTCTCAGAGAGTGTTGTGGTAACAGGTCTGCAGCCCAACTCATGAGTCATCCTAGGACACCCTGCATCGTGACCTCTGTGACCCCAGGTCCCTGGCACTCTTTGTGGAGGCAGATTTCCTGGCCATCAACACAAGCCCTTGTTGCTAGGTTTTCTGTGCTTATAGCTGTCTAGACAGAGCCCTGTCCCCAGGGTTTCCCTGTGATCCTAAGATGCCAACCTGACCTGGAGAGCTAGCAGCTGGATGCTAGGCCCTGCCCATCATTGCTCCATCTTTGTGTCAAGTCTTTCCATCTAGGACATTTACACTGACCCAGGGTCCTCCTGGAGTTCTTTCTAATGTGCGAGATGTGGCATGTTAAACAGACATGCAGAAAAACACTCCAGACATGGGACACAATTTCAGGTCAGGGATATCACTAAGACTCTCAGCTTACAATTCTTATGGAACAGTAAATTCCCAGTGTCCCCTCTTTGCTGCCACTAACAAATGTGTACAGCCTTCAGAAACTGACAACAGCAGGAGAACTTTTTTGTGACTAAGCAAATCTGCTTTTCCTGTACAGTTTAGGTAATAGCAATGATGTGTGAATGATAATTCCCTCACTTTGTGTCCAAGCTACCCCAATACACAGACACACACACAACAAAACAAAAGAAAAAAAAATAAATAAAACCCCAAGGCCCCTGAAGCTAGGTTTGGAAGCATTTATAGCAGTGGTTCTCAACCTGTGAGTCACAGCCCCTTTGGAGGTTGCATATCAGATATTTACATTATGATCCATAACAGTAGCAGAGTTACACTTTTGAAGTGGCAGTGAGATATTTTTTTCAGCTTTTAAAAGAAGCTTTTATTTATTTCGTGGTATGTGCACTAGAGGAAACAAAACACAAGAAGCCAAGAACAGTCTCCCAGTCACAAGCAGCTCAGCTTGCTGTGTCCTTCTAGATGTTGCAATGTACATACATTTAGGGAATTGAGGTTATACAATATGTATCAAGCTTTCCCCCACATTGTGAATATTCACCAACTAAAATATACAAAATATCAAAATACATGAGTATTTTGATAACCAAGAATACACCATGCCATCTCAGTCTGTCAGACAAAACTGTAATCCTGTCTTCCTTGGCAACAAAAATTTCATAGAAGACAAAAATGGCAGCAGGCTTCTAGATAGAAGTACTGCTGAAGTTACAATTAAAATTCTGCATTCCCTCAATGTTCAGCTTATAAGGAAACACAAAGCAACAGACCAACTAAGTACAGCATTCCTAAGTTTATCACCAGATCTATATACTAAAATATGAAGGTGTGTTCCTGCTCAATAAATGTATTCCTATGGAGCACTTAAGATTAACCTACGGCAGGGGTCCTCAAGATGTCAATCTCAACACAGCACAGCGCCGCAGATCTCACCCTGTGAACCTCTCTGCCTCTCCAGTCAGCCTAGCAACATGAATTAATTCACACTGTCCAGACATGGCTTAACAATTCAAGAGGCATCTTTTCTGTCAATCTATGAAGCTATACTTTTAACCATATGCTCTCCTTTAGGACGTGTATGAAGTTCAGATGTTGTGGGATGAACTTTGTACACAATAAACACAAGTATCTGCACATAGGGATCCCTGGGTACGGCTGTTTTCTAGATGTGTTGGTCCTTGCAAAGAGCTCTTCCTTCATCCGTCTTCTTCTCTGCACAGCTCCTGTCCAGAATGCTGCCAGTCTTACGAGGGTCACCCCCAGAAGACAGCCCTTCTTTTGGGGGCAGTGAGATACTTTTATGGTTGGGGTCCACAACATGAGGAACTGTATTAGGAAGGTTGAGAACTATTGATTTATAGGGGGAAGCCATGGCTGCTGCAGATAGAAAAGTCAGGTCAGGCTGTCCCACCATCCCTGTAGCTCTCCTTTTCCCAAGGGTCTTTGTCTCAGCTGCAGCCAGTTCCCACTGGAGCAGGTGGCCGCCATCACCCATATGCCTAGCACCTGCCTGCTATGACAGCTGGTGCTGGATAGGGTGCTGTGTTCTGTCCCATCTTTTGGGAAGCTGCTCAAGGCCAGATCTACTTCATTCCCCTGGCAGGGGTTCCATGGCTGGTGTTTGTTTTTGCAGTAGAGGGAGGGGGGGACAATATCACTGCAAATAGCCACCATGGGCCTATGTCATGTCAGATCACTGGGTTGACTGAGTGCTGCATAATTTAGAACTTATAAAATGGGGGGAGGGGTGTTCAGAATGTGTTTCTCACAGTTTGAGGGCTGAAGTCAAGGCATCAGTATCTCAGAGGGTTTCTTGCTGTACCCAGAACGGTGGCAGCATGGAGAGAGGACTAAAGGGCAGAAACTCCTGTGGTGGCCATATTAATCATCCCATGAGGGGGGCATCTCCCTGGCCAGCCACTCTTGACACTTGCACTAGGGTACAGTTTCCAGTCCGGGCACTTCGGTGACTATTGACACCGTGGCAGGTAGCCTCTGAGGTTTCTCTTTCTACTGAAGCTCACTGCTTAGTGAAATGCTGCTAGAAGCAAGAAGAGCCCAGATACTTGGTGCCAGCTTTCCATGAGCCATGAGCATCCAAAATGCACCTCTTCACTATAGGGCACAGACTCCTAGGTCACTTTCTGGGGTGGTAAATAAATCTGAATCCCTGTGTCCTGGTGTACAATCCACCAAACAACCTGTCTTACTGAAAGTGCTTCCTCTACAAGAAAGATTTCCTCAGTGTAAAATGAAGGCTCCATAGATGAGGCCTGCCTGGATTTCAGATTCAGTGCTGAGTTTGCTTTCTCTTTCTGCTGCAGGCTTGGTTTCACATACCTGAGACTGAAGGACAATTACATGGAAATACTGAACAGGGAGAATGACATTGAGAGGTGAGGCACTGTCTGCATGAAGTGTGTCCCTGGGAAAGAACTAAGTAAGTCCCATGCTTGGAAGTGCGATGCCCAGGGCTGTGTGAGAGAGAGGCAGGTCTGCACACTGTGGTGCTTCAGGGCCCTGTCTGAGCTGGGCCCTGAGCTCAATGGCAGCTCCAGCTCCAGAGCCCCAACAGGTCTCCCGGAGAGGTTTTCAGATTTGGCATGATAGTCGCAGGCTCCTTCGATATTCCAAATGAGACATAGATATCATGACCCTTCTGGGAGGAATCAGAGCCTAGACTAACCTGTCACAACTCTTGGCACTGATCCCAACACAAGGCTGGAACTGGGTGTCCTGTGAGGTCCAGAACATGGGGGCGGGGTGTCTACACAGTGTTTCCAGGGCACAGGGAGAGATGAGAATGCCCCCTGTCTGCTGTGACAATCATCCAAAGGGGCATTCACACAGTGGACAGGGCACAGGAAGTGCCCCCCTGCTGGGACAGTCATTTCACAATCACTCAAGCTCAGCACCTACCTAGCAGCAGAGAATAAACTGTGCCCCACTTGTCTGTTTCAGATTTGAACTGCTAGAAGTTCTGAGTTTTGACTCTGTGCGGAGAAGAATGAGTGTAATTGTAAAATCTACTACAGGTAAGATTTCTCCTGATGTCACATGGTGGTGGTTTTATTCTGATGGGTGACTCTTTAGGATCTTTAAGGGTTTGGGACATAAGAACCATTTATTCCACATCTGTATGTACATGCAGGAACATGTAATATGTGTGTACATTCATTCGAGGGTTTGTGTGTAGGCCATAGGACAACATGGGGTGTCATTCCTCAGGCATTGCCCACTACTTATTTTGATCTTAGGCAGGATCTTTCATTGGTTTGGATCTCACTGAGTAAGACAGACTTACTAGCCAGCAAGCCCTAGAAATCCTCCTGTCCCTGACTCCCCAACACTGACATTGCAAATGCATGCTACTGTGCCTAGCTTTTTTTATTTGGGCTCTGGGAATTGAACCCAGGTCATCATGCTTGCAAGGTAGATTCTTTACCACCTGAGCTATCTCTCCCTTCCCATTTTTTTCCATTTTTAAAGGCATAGGTAGACTCTTCTATAATAACAACTTTGGAAAAAAATGGATACTAACTAAGCCTCCTACAGACACTTTCACATCATCTATGTATGTGCTCCACCCATATCTAAAAATAAGAGCATGTTTTTAACTGTATTTAAGGACATATAGTATGCATTTGCAGGTATTTCTGTACTAGAATTCAGAATACTGACTAAATGACAGTTGATTTCTTGGCTGGCTGGTTGCTGTGACAATGGCTCTTTATTTGGGAGTGGCACATTGTGGTTTGTGGTTGAAGTATGGGATGGTGAAGGGGTAGGTGCAGTGGGACCCCTGGACCAGGTGATTCCCTTTGACCTTGGTGTGTGATCTCTGTGGGTTGGCACTTGCCACCTCCCCACCATGTAGCTCTGCAGCTGTCTTTCCCTGTCAGCATCTTGTCTACAAAAGTAGGCACCTGCCTCATCCACTCCCTGCCCTCACACTGGGCTGGATGCCCCTGGCTCCCCAGCACTCACAGGGCTCTGCTTGCAGCCACATAGCCCTGGTGTCAGAGGTCCAGTTAGCACTGGCTCCTGGCCTTTGACCAGCACATTCTGTGGGTGTATCTTCAGGTTGTGTCTTCATTTCCTTGCCACCCATATGCTGCTTGCCCGGCTGTGTTTCCCTTCCTGGGTCATAGTGTGAAGTGGCAGCCCCTCCAGGGTTTCCTCACTGAGGCTCTGGAATGTCTGGATGCCCCTAGGTATCCACAGCATCCACACTGGGAGCCGCCTACTATTCCTCCTGACTAGTGTGGACCACCCCTCCTGGGGGCACCCATAAATCTTCTGTACCTTTCAGGGGAATCTGACTGAACAATAGTCATGTCTCTGTTGCAAGTGTTTTCCCTACTTAAACACCCCACATTAATCTTCCTAGGGTTTGGAAATAGGTCAAGTGGGCGCCTGTCAAATAGCTGTGCCTTGGGATTTGATCCCAGTCCTCAGCCCAGAAGTGTGCCCCCCACTCCTCCCTTCCTGGACAGTTGACAAAACCAGTCACCACCAGCCTCTTGAGACCTGGATTTACTCTCCACATACTTCTTTTTTTTTTTTTTTACTTTGGTTTTCTAAGACAGGGTTTCTCTGTGGCTTTGGAGGCTGTCCTGGAACTTGCTCTTCTGCCCCCCCCGCCGCCTCCCGCCCTCTCTCTCTCTCTCTCTCTCTCTCTCTCTCTCTCTCTCTCTCTCTCTCTCTCTCTCTCTCTCTCTCTCTCTCTCTCAAAAAGATTTTATTTATTATGTATACAACATTCTGCTTCCATGTATATCTGCACACCAGAAGAGGGCGCCAGATCTCATAACGGATGGTTATGAGCCACCATGTGGTTGCTGGGAATTGAATTCAGGGACCTCTGGAAGAGCAGTCACTGCTCTTAACATCTGAGCCATCTCTCCAGCCCCTCTCCACATACTTCTAAGCACACTCAGTGTTAGGGGCGTAGAAGCCTGTCCTACAAGGCTTCTGGGTATTCCATCTTCCTGGTGTGTGCCTTCTTAAGCCTGCTGCCATTGAAATGCACAGTGAAACTCACTCTGTAGACAAGGCTGGCTTCAAACTTATGGACCTGCCTGTCTCTGCCTACTGAAATTAAAGACATTCACCACCACACCTAGCTTACTGTGATATTTCTATAGCTATACCAAAAATTCTCTATTTAGCATAGCACTGCCCCCTGAGATTGCATTATTGCTGAGCAGGGTGGCTGAGTAGGGACTGAGACAGTGTTTGCAGCTGAGGGTTGGTCAGGCCTGAGAGTGTTTTACAGAGTAGGGCAGCTGAGGATCGGGCCTGAGACTGATTACAGAGTAGCTGGGCTGGGCACGTTGCGTTAGAGCTGGTTTCTCTGCACCTTGGCTGCTACTTTGCTGTCTGTCGGATCTCTTACCTAGAAGGAGAAAGTTCTTTCATGTTGAGAAAAGAGCGTTCAAAGCCAGCACAAAGGTGCTCAGGGTTCTGAGGACAAGACTAGAGGTGTGGAAGACAGTTTCCCAAGAAGCTTTGGGATACAAAGGAAGACCCACTTTCTGGAGGAATTAGACACTCACCTTCTGTATCTCATGAAGTTTGAACGTTGCTTTTAGGTCAGCAGCACACCCTTGGTTCTCTCATGCTCGCCTGCCTTCCCACCCCCAGTCCCAGGATGTGTGAGCACCCAGAGCCCTCATTGTTCATGGCTCCTGACTGTCTTGAGCGCCAGGCTGTAGGAATAAAATGGGCTCTGGCATATTCCATGGGTTGCACTTCTTTCAGATCTTAAAATGTACTTTAAAACGGTCTCCATACTGGTGTCACTTGTTTTCATTAATAACAAACTGAAAAGTAACTTTGTCTCCCCATGTGGTAATTAAATTCCATTGTTCCCCCTTATCTTACAGGAGAAATCTATCTGTTTTGCAAAGGAGCAGATTCTTCAATATTTCCCCGAGTGATAGAAGGCAAAGTGGACCAGGTCCGGTCCAGAGTCGAGCGCAATGCAGTGGTAAGATGCTGTCCCGTTTTGCCACCACCACCCCCCCCCCACCTTCCCACAGACTCTTCATTAAGCCACAGTTTTTCTGATGATAGCGGTCCCTTCACTTTCCTGTCTGCTGCCAACCGGTAATGAGAGGTTGTTGTCCTACTTATATGCGGAGGCTGCTCGCATCCTCTCAGCTATGCTTCCCAGGATTGAGGAGCCAGAGAGACCCCATACCTGAATTAGATGGCTTTCTGCTGAAGTCTGCAAAGGCTGTTCTAGATAGACATTCCAGATACAGCACTGTCACATTCCCTCGGAGAAAGTCCTCATCTGTTGCTACAGAAGGCATATGCTGGCTGCATTCAACTTATTAGGACAAACTTTTTGAAGCCCTGGGGTTAACTTTCATTTCAAGTGGGCACATTGGGAATTCTGGCCCCTTCTGCCAAGGGTCACCTCCAGGAGAGCCACTGGAGACACTTGGTGTTAATGAGCACACTGACATATAGTCCATACTTGATTGTTCTGGAGGATTCTCGCCAACCTGAGAATCATTTTCCTTAAGGGAAATAGTATGTTAATTATGATTATGTTAACATGTTTTTTAAAGTCTTTATTGAGCTACAGTCAGTAAACATTAGCAACTTCATATTAAAGATAAAAGTAGGTAAGTTTTGGTTTACACTTGTAAAAACAATGTCCGCAGGGTGTCTTCAGAATCTCTGTATTCCTCACCTTGTCAACTCTCCCATCTGCACCATTGTTTGCCATCACTGTAGATGAGTTCTTACCTTCTGGACTGTCCTCACTAGTAGAATTACATTTGTTGTCTTATCAGGCTTCTCTCACTACACATAACTGTTCTGAGATTCATCCACACCTGTGTACGCCACAGCATGGTATTTCTTTTCTCACTGAGCTACCCAGCTGATGCCCAGCTTACTCATTTGTTCACCTGTGGATGGATATTTGAGACTGAGCACCAGTGTGAACTGTGGGTCCAGGCTGAGCGGTGCTCCAAATTCACCAAACAACATGAAGCCACAGCTTGAAGGAACAAGCTGTTTCTGAGGAGCTTGACCACATCTCTTGATAAAATTCTATAGCTGTAGGAAGTGAGTTCCCCAGCCCATGCCCCAGCCAGGAGTTACTCAGGCAGGGAACTGAGGAGCCCGCAGGTCCCACATTTGTAACATGACTTAAACAATTACAGCTTTACAGTGGCCCATTTCTTCTTAGTTGACTGTTTTGAGAACCATAATTAAGAAACTGCTGCCAAATACAAGATTATGAAACTACCCTGTATTTTTCTAAGAACTTTACACTTTAAGCTTTTAAATTTAAGACATTGATCTTATTTTATATGTGGTGATAGGCGAAGGGGACTGTCTTATTTTTTGAGTGTCATTTTTTGAGCATCATTGTTGAAGGGACGGTTTTATCCCTGTTGAGTGAGTTTGTTCCTCTTGTTAAATAATCTAGCCAGATGTTCCAGGATTTGTTTCTGGGTCTCAAGTTCTATCCTACTCCTATCCCTCCCTCCCTCTCTCCCTTTCTTCCTCCCTCCCTCCTTCTTTCTCTCCACACCAGTTCTGTGCACTTTTGCAGTTTCCTCTACTGTCGTGTGCTGGTAAATTTTGAAGCTAGAATGTTTGCATGCCCAACTTTATTCTCATCTAAATCCTTTTGCTTGTTCTCTGAGTACCTTGAAATTTCCTGAGTTCCTGCTGAGATTGCCATCTGGGGTTCCATAGAATCACAAGACTCCAAATGACTTTGAGTAGTATTGTCATCTTAACAACATGGCATCTTCCACTCCACAGAAACAGACATGTTTCAGTTATTTGGCTCTTCTGTGATTTCTTCACTGTTTTGTAGTTTTCAGTCTGTGAATCTTTTCTTCCGTGAGTAAACACATTCCTGAATGTTTTCCTTCTGCTATAATTATAGATAGGAATGTTTTCTTTTTTACTTTTCTTTTCTTTCTTTCTTTCTTTTTTTTTTTTTTTTTTTTTTTTTTTTTTTTTTTTTTTTTTTTTTTTTTTTTTTTTTTTTTTTGTTTTTGTTTTTCAATTTTTCAAGACAGGGCTTCTCTGTGTAGCTTTGGAGCCTATCCTGGCACTTGCTCTGGAGACCAGGCTGGCCTCGAACTCACAAAGATCCTCCTGCTTCTGCCTCCTGAGTGCTGGGATTAAAGGCATGCACCACCAACTCCCGGCAGGAATGTTTTCTTAATTTCCTTCCCAAGGTGAGTGTTGGAGCATGTGAAATGCAGCTGGCACGTCTGTGATGATGTCACAGTTGTGCTATTGCTGCATTCACGTAATAGCTCTGGGGTTTTCAGAGAGGTGGGGTGTACGTTCTTTATGATTTTCTGGTGGTGGTGCTGGTCATCTGCATGTGCAGTCTTTAGAAAGGCATTCTTCCCGATTTGGGCGCCCCCTCCAGTACCGAATCACTCTGATAGAATTTGTTCGGCAGAAATGCAAAGGTGAGAGACTCGCTGCCCTCTCCTCGCCTTGGAGTAGTTCTTGGAGAACCACTGTGAAGACAGCTCTGTGTTGCTCCTGCAGTTTTCAGATATTTCCTCTGCATCAGTTCAGATCATCACATGGGTCTTCATCCTGGCAATATCACATGTTACATTAGCACATTTCCTATGCTGATCAGTCTGGCATTCAGGGATGAGTCCCATTCAGCCATGGCATGCAATCCTTTCATAGCTATTGGATTCAGTTTGCTAGTGTGCTGCCAACGACAACTTTATTATAAGGGGTGACGCTCTATAGTGGTCTCCAGGTGTGGTTGTGTTTTGTACAGCTTGGTAGTGTTTCACACAGGACTTTTGTCATGCTTAGCAAGAAGCTTGGGGAAAAGCACCTCCACCTTATGTCCCTGTAGGCAGGGGCCTCCTCGTTTCTGAAAGCCTTGCTCAGCGCACTCCATCCTAGACAATTCATTGCCTTAGAGCCTTCCTTGTCTGATGGGTCTCTGGACTTGTGAATGAAGCAGAGTGTTTTGCCCCTGTGCCCCTCCCTCCCTTGTGAAGGGTGATGAGAATGGATGACCAGTGGGGTGTGTCCTCCACACAGGTTAGGAGGAAGTCTGAAGGGCTGTGAGAAGTGATAGCAACACTTTACAGGAAATGATTTTAAAAATCTAAAATCTGGAATTTGCAGTGCTTGTTGAAGATGCCTGTGAGTGTCACACTGTTGTTCATGGAATTAAGGTGAAAGGGCAAGAGGCACCCAAAGGAACCACACCAAGAGCAACCACCAAGTGACAGTTTGGTGTGTCTTGGCATGAGTGACACATAGTGGAGGGCACGTGACCTTGATAGCTGCATTGCACCTCCTACACATGTATCAGAACCCCTCGTCCCTCAGGCTTACTTCAGTTTCCCATGGTCCCAGCATGTGGGTGAATAACCTTGCAGTCTTCCTTGGTATTCACTATGGTTAAATTCTGACAAGCTCCCAGCTTTGGAAACATCATTACCACAACATTACAAAGTATCTCTTGAAATATTAAATTGAACTCTATTTGTTTACATGAAGAAAAAAGTCTGTGTTCCAGTGTACTGGCCTGTTCCAGGTATCATATGTTCCAGTTCTATAATGTACACAATTGTCCATATTTAATTTAATTAAGTAATCCCTTGGGGGGTGGGTATGAGGGAGGCCTGAGAATGCATTCAGCAGATAATATTGGATTCACATTAAACACTGACTTCGTCATCCACAGGAGGGGCTTCGAACCCTGTGTGTTGCCTACAAACGGCTCGAGCCAGAAGAGTATGAAGATGTTTGCAAACTGCTGCAGGCTGCCAAAGTGGCACTTCAAGATCGGGAGAAGAAGTTAGCAGAAGCCTACGAGCACATTGAGAAGGACCTGATTCTGCTTGGTGCTACAGCTGTTGAGGACCGGTAATGCTGGCACGAGTATCTGTTCAGTTGCAGATGGGAGAGGCCCTGAGAGTGGGGAGGGCAGATAGCACACATGTCCAGTGCCAGTGTGTTCTTCCTGAGGACAAGGTTCACCTGTTTTCCTTCACATAGAGTGACAACCCAGGAAACCATCACTGGGTGATATGTTACTGACCACACATAGAATGTCTGAATAGTGAAAGTAACATCTTCACAAAAGAAACTGGAAAGATCCAGTTTCTTTTCACGCTTCTGAGATGAACTAGTAGTTATTTTCCTAATTGCTTCTGGCTCTTCTGAACACAGCTTGACTTTTTAGATTTTAATTTAATATCTTCGACAATTTGTCATTGTTTGTTGAAGAAAGTTAACATAATGAAGTGGACTATGGTAAAAAAAAAAAAAAAAAAAAAAACAGTAGTTATAGCTAATAAAATTGTGAGAATGCTTCTGGAATCCTCAGATACAAGATGAAGGCCAAGGTACCATTGCAGTGACTGAGGGCAGTGGTGTAGGAAGAGAGGCTGTTCCACAGAGAGAGCTTCTGAGTGACTTTACATGAAGCCCTTATGGGCAGCTGGTATGATGACATGACTGGGGTTAGGCCATGGAACGTGGAGGTTGACACCCAGAAGCACATAAAAATGAGTGGCAGTAAAAAATTTTTTCCAGACAGGGTTTTACTGTGTAGCTCAAGTGACACAGAACATGCATCCTCCTGGGATTACAGATATGATGCTCTGTAACGTGAGGTTTTCTTGGCCTGGCTAGGTCCCACTGCCCTTCTCTGCCCCAAAGAAACATATCTTACTCTGTTGGGGTCTACATTGAGTCTGTTCTACATTTCCCAGAATTCTTCTTGTCTCCTAGTCCCACCTATCTTGCTTCCCTATTGGCCAACAGTGCTTTATTCATCAATTAATAAGAGAAACATATGTACAGAAGACTTCCCCATCAATGCCCCGTTGAAGTGACATTTGATCACAAGTTACTTCTTTAAATCTTAGAGCCAGTACGTTGGTAAACTTACCTGTCTAGGCCTCAGGTCCCTTATTATTGTTTCAGAAAAATTACACGATTGGAGGTGGCTTTTTTCATTCGTGAAAATGTAATAATGGCATCTCCACACTTTAGGCCAGGAGCTTCCTCCCAAGGGCTCTTCTGACTTCTCAGGGTTATCTAGAGGTGAAAGTTCATACCAGCTTTCACACAGTGCTGACACATGCTAAGCCAGTGATAAATGTTAGTTAGCTGTGGGGCCACTGGCATTGCTATCAGCATCTGATATAATACTTAGAGCCTGGCATGGCACCAAAAGGAAAGACAATACCTTATTTCCCCAATTCCATTTTACAGTTTGTTTCTGGTTTTAATGAGCCTTCTCCCAAGTGGAATGATACTGGTTTGTGGAAGGATGTGAGGCTCAGCAAAGGGACATGATGTAGAACAGCCTCCTTAAATTAAGGGCTCATCCATGTTTGTTTGCAGGAGCCTTATAATACATCGTCATATGGTGTGCACTTTGGGAACAGGTTCCAGTCCTTTATGTAGACCCTCAGCCACTTGCATGTGCTGTTGTTAATAGAGCTGAATATTTTCATGGCTTTGTGTTTCCTGAAGTGCTTTATTTTGGTGGCCTTTGGATCCTGACCCCCCACTGTCTGTATCCTACTTTCCCAGGCTCCAGGAGAAAGCTGCTGACACGATCGAGGCACTGCAGAAGGCGGGCATCAAGGTCTGGGTGCTCACTGGAGACAAGATGGAGACGGCCTCAGCCACCTGCTATGCCTGCAAGCTGTTCCGCAGGAGCACCCAGCTGCTGGAGCTGACCACCAAAAGGCTAGAGGAGCAGAGCCTGCACGATGTTCTGTTCGAGCTGAGCAAGACTGTGCTGCGCTGCAGTGGAAGCCTGTCCAGGGACTCCTTCTCAGGGTAGGCGACTCCCCCTATATCACTTGCAAGTCAGTCCCACTCAAGGGACCCTGGGTCTCTATGAGTTGCTGGTGCCCACCTGGCCATGTTCTTGTGGGTCACTTAGACACTTTGGGTGACACAGAAGCCTTTCCACAGCTGGAGGTGCCTGGGCAGGCAATTTCAAGTTGATGGGCAGAGAATACAGAAAGATGTTTTCATTGGTAAAATTTTGACCTGCTGTTGCGCCTCCTGGGTCCATCTTGGATGCCTCAGGATGCAGCCAGAGAAGCCAGAAGGTAGTCAGTAATGATGGAGGCTGTTTGTCTGGGACAGCAGTGTTGCTCAAGTTGGGTCTTTCCAAGAATATCCACCAATTTATTCACACATTTTACAAGGGCCTCTCTTACCAGTATTGGGCAAGTCATGGGAAGGTAGTCTCATTTGAGTCTAATTCAGATCCATTGTTTTATGTTTTTATTTGTGTGGGTGTCAGCATGCATGTGCCACAGAATACATTTGGAGATTAGAGAACAAGTTCTCTTCTTCCACCTTATAGGTTCTGGGGGTTAAAGTTGGGTAGTCAGGCTTAGAGCAGACAATAAATTTGGCAGAACGAATCAGCCCTCCAGACACATACAGATTTTAGGCTGTTTTAAGAAGAACACAAAGTTACCTCTCTATGTTAACCTGCAGAATTTGGGGATTGTGGGTGTTTTGGCATTTTTAAGGTGTAGCCAAGTGACCTAGAGAGGTTAAGAGCTTGCACTGCTCTCCCAGACAGCCCAAGTTAATTCCAAGCACCAGCATCAGGCGGCTTCCCACTGCCTGCAACTCCAGATCCTGGGAGGTCAGACTCTGCTGGTCTCAGCAGATATGTTCCCAGACCTACACACAGATTACACATAATTTAAAATGATAAAAGAAAAATAAATCTTTATAGCCCAACAAAGGGAGACTTTGACCATGTTCTAACAGGAAGTCACCAGGGCAGAAAGACTAGGAGGTATTAGCTATACAGGTAGAGAGAGGCTGGCATGGAGACTAGAAATGAAGACCTGCCTTCCCAAGCCCACCTTTGGTGTCCCAGTATGAGACTTACACAAGCCCACAGAAGGCTGTGGCTGCTGCCACAAAGAGTTTTCATTAAAATGTGATTTTACAGCATAGTCAAAGAGGTGGCTCCAATTCTGTAAAGATTGTAGTGATGGAAGAACTATAAGCGTCCTGATCCTGTGGATTGGCACCATGCAGATTCCCAGTGTACCATGTCCTTTGCTTTAGAGCAGTGACTGAGTGACCTCTCCCTTCTGTGTGCTCTAACAGACTTTCGACAGATATGCATGACTATGGTTTGATCATCGATGGAGCTGCCCTGTCCTTGATCATGAAGCCCCGGGAGGACGGAAGCTCCTCAGGCAACTACAGAGAGCTCTTCCTGGAGATCTGCAGGAACTGCAGTGCAGTGCTGTGCTGCCGCATGGCGCCCTTGCAGAAGGCCCAGGTCATGAACTGCCCCAGTCATGGGGCTTAGGTGTTTGGCATGGGGAGAAAGCCTTTCTTAAGTCTCACTGTCTCTGATTGCTAAACAATTAGGGAGGTATAGAAATTTCAAACCAGAGTCTTAGATTCTCCTTGATAGTCAGGCATGGATGGCCCCTCTTAGAGAAGGGCTATAGTGCCTTGGGAATCTACCCCAAGGGTGTAGGGAAGGGAGATTGCATCCACCAAGCACCTTTTGCGTGCCCATGGCAGTCAAGATTTGACTTCCCTCCTTTGGACTCTAGATAGTCCTCTGCACTCTCCCTGTTCTTGTGAGAGCATACCCAAATTATCTTTTTAAATACATCAAATGTGTTGTGGAATGCATACATGAACATAGTATCTTTCCAGTGTCCATAAACCTGGATGTGATCCAGCTTCACTTAGCATGCTTCAGGGGCAGAATGCCTCCTTGAAATGCTTATAAGGAAATCCAGTCCTCTCAGGTGACCCAGCCATGGAGGTCGAGTTCATTATGCAGGTGACCCAGCCATAAAAGTCGAGTACATTATGCAGAAAGCCAGGTTCAGGGAGGTGCTCTTTCAAATGCCAGCTTGATGCACCAGTTAGCCTCTGTCACTAGGCACAACCAGAATGTCCCCAGGACAGTTCTCAGAGAAGACATGCAATGGCTTTTTTTGCTACCGTCTTCTGTATTGGACTCCTTGAAAACCGTCTGTAATCATTTCCCTGATCACAGTCTGGGATTTCCAGTGCTATTTTGGGTTCTCAATGGATTTCTAAAAATGCACGTATACTTGTATTTCTTGTCTTGAAACAAGAAAGCAATCTGTAGTTTCCCTTCTTCTCATCTCATATCCTAGTGCATTGGACTTCAGCACAGTGCGTGGGAGAAGTGCATTGTACACAGTGCTGGGGGGGAGTGCATGTGGGGAGGTCTATAAAGAAATCAACTTGGAAGTTGAGGAAGAGAAATCATGAAGAATATTTATTGCATTGAGTTAACATATTTGATTTTTACACATCACAGGTTTGAAAATCAAAATAGAATTAGGAACAACTTCCTTTTTTTAAAAAATTGTTTGATACCAAATAACATGGAATTGCAGCACCTTCTTGCAGACTACAGTGCTGGCATTGGTCCCAGCTTTTCCAATATCTGAACATTACTCTGATTTTGTCTTCCTGCCTTTGTGAAGTCAGGTCATTAATCATATCTTTGTTTTTATGAGATGATTTGATCCTCTATGGAGAAAATAGTCTGAGAGCTGTAAATGAGCTATAAGCAGACAATTTCCCTCTGACATACACAAGCTTGCTCTCTGTTGGTTCTGCCCAGTTAATGACCCTAAGGAAATCCAAACAGAGAAGATAAACTCCACATTTCTTTCTTTTCCAGATTGTTAAGCTAATCAAGTTTTCAAAGGAGCATCCTATCACCCTAGCGATTGGTGACGGTGCAAATGATGTCAGTATGATCCTAGAGGCCCACGTGGGCATAGGTAAGCCACTGCTTCTCCAGTTGGGTTTGCACGTTAGGTAGATAAAGGCTGTATCATAGCGTGCAGGGGGACCTTGGGCCTCCTCCGGGCAGTGATCTCTGGAAGTAGCTGGTTCTGGTTACCAGCGTTATTCTCCCTTCATTCTAGGTGTCATTGGGAAGGAGGGTCGCCAAGCTGCCAGGAACAGCGACTATGCAATACCCAAGTTCAAGCACTTGAAGAAGATGCTTCTTGTTCATGGGCATTTTTATTATATCAGGATATCTGAGCTTGTGCAATACTTCTTTTATAAGGTAGGAAGATCTCCTCTCAGTTTCAGTGGCAGACCTTCACCGGTGACTTAATGTTTCTGGAGTCATTTATCTGCAAAAAGCAGTGACCATCAGGCAGTAGGTTGCTCCTGTAACAGGATTCCTGACACTTCTTAAACCTTCTCAGAGTTGTGTGATGTTTGAGGGCAAACATCTTGTTCCTTTGAATAGTCCCCTCCATGCAGGCAGGTCCTTGGTGCTGGCCTCTCTGTTACCACTGCCTTCCCTCTTGTGTGTCTTCCTCCCACTCTCTGTGATCACCAGGACCACTAGAGATGTGTACATTTCAGTTGCCACCCAGGGAAGAGAAGCATTTCCAAACCCCCCTCAGCTATCTTAATAGGATGCTGAGACTACTTGGATAGATCTCCATATGAAACATGGTGTGTTGACAGTGGCTTGTGAGCTCTAGGCAAGCCCACACATCTCTGCAGAGTGCCCTTGAGCTAATGGCTGTCCCTTGCCTTTCAGAATGTCTGCTTCATTTTCCCTCAGTTTTTGTACCAGTTTTTCTGCGGATTTTCACAGCAGGTCAGTCTGATACCCTAAGTTCAAAGTTCATCATCATCTTTTCTTCCTTCCCAATGGGTGGCCATGGTGAGGGAACACTCTTTAGGGACATGCAGACAGAACCCCATGGAGATCTGGTAGGAGCCCAGGTGCATCCATCCTGCTGCCTCGGGGGCTTGTCAGCAGACAAAGGTGAAGAGCAGGCTATGGAACTGAGGAGTTGCCAGCCACAGACTGGATGTCATGAAGCTGACATGTTCCCAAACACAGGCCTCTAATGACATAACCAGTGGGCCTTTGGGTTGGGCTGTATGATGACATTGGAAGGGTTACACCCACACCTGAACCTTCATGGACATGGGGGTCATCTTGGAGTCTGAGGCATTGAAGTATGCAGGATGAGTTAGATGTGGCCTGGGAGATGGGCCTCAGTACTTGCTGTTTGGGCAGACACTTTTCTATCCCCACACAATGCACCATGTACTCAGATAGACAGTGGCCGATAGCTTGTATCTGGAGCCACCAGGACCAGGCTAATTGAAGCTAGTTTTGAGTCCAAGTTCTGCCTGGACCTGACTTTTAAATTTTAAACTTTAAATTTTAAACCTGATGAATTTACTTCATGAAGTTTACAATCTGCCCCAGTTGTCTGTCTGCAGAATTGTGGCTTTTGTATGTTTTAGGTGCACTTTCTATATATTTAAGCTGCTTTACTCAGGGCCTAGGGAAATGGCTCAGTCAGTAAAGTTTTTGCCGTACAAACATGAGGACCTGAGTTCAAATCCCCAGCAACTATATCAAGTGAGGTATAGCAGCATAGAAAGTCAGTGATGAGGAGATAGAGACAGGAGGACACCTGGGACACATTGGGTAACCACTCTAGCTGAATCGGTGATCTCCAAGTCATCTGATGCTGACCCCTGGCTTCCATACACAGGTGTACATGCACGCATGTGTGCGTGCACGCATGCACATACACACACACACACACACACACACACACACACAGCCATGTGCTAAATCATAGTGTCAATCTGTTAAAGCCACCTTAGAGCACCACTCAGATTGCTTCTCCTTCTTGCAGACTTTGTATGATACTGCGTATCTGACCCTCTACAACATCAGCTTCACTTCCCTCCCGATTCTCCTGTACAGCCTTATGGAGCAGCACGTGGGCATGGAAGTGCTCAAGAGAGACCCATCCCTGTACAGGTGTGTGCGAGCCCCTGCCTTGTACAGGTGTGAGCCCCTTTCCTGTACAGGTATGTGCAAGCCCCTGTTCTGTACAGGTGCATGCCCCATCCCTGTACAGGTGTGTACGAGCCCCTGCCTTATACAGGTGCGTGCCCCTGCAACGAGTCCAATGCAGCACAGGGGACAGCAGAAGCAGTGCACATCTGCCAGGCAGCTCCTGGTGGCCTTGTTTCAAAGCTGAGTGCACTTGCTTCCACAGGACGGTGTTTAAACAGCCAGGCAGTATCCTGGAGTGTGCTCCACAGGTGATGGGGTTTACACGGGGCCTGAATGTACACATGAACCCCTTCCACATCCTATTGCTTGGAGTGGAATTTTGCTCTGCCTGGACCCAGTGAATTCATTTCTTAGTATTAAGCTTTTATACTATTTCAGAACTGCCCAGATTTTCTGACAGATAGAATATTTCTTTGTAGTCTTTTTCCATCCTAAGATACAACAAGGAGATTCCCATGCCCTTGTCCAGTTTCTCCCAGTAATAACGAGTTAGATACTGCCGTGGAGCAGCCAGCCAGTAGCTACATTATCATCCTTCACCTGCCTCATTCAGGTTCCCCAGGGTGTTTTGTCTTATTCATGCTTATACACACATGTGTGTGCTTACTACTGTGAGGTGGTTTCACATGTGTAGTTTCAGAAGCCACATAACATCAGACAACTTTCCCTCATCCAATTCCACAGGACCTCATGTCACCAGCTTTGGGGCCTTTATTTCAATGTTTAGCCATTTATGAGACCCTGAAGAGAGAGAGAGAGGGAGTGAGTACGAGAGAGAGCGGAGAACACGTGCGCATGCATGCACGTCATGTGCACTGTTTCAGAGGGAATGCTGCAGACAAACAGTGCAGTGAACAGGCCTAGAAACTCACATGGGCTGGTAACAAGCTCAAGTCCTCGGTCTGCTAATCAGTGTGTGGAATAGTGTGTGTGCTGTGCATTAGTTTCATTCAGAAGACAAGAGTGCACCAGGTTTCCTTTAACAACATTACAGTTGAATAAGGGAGAGAAAGTACTCAAACGCTAATGCAGTATATAGCTCAGTGTGAAGTCTGAAAAACATGTGTGTTTTGTCATGTTCATCAGTCACAGTTGATGCTGTTTAGGGACATATGGATAGAGATGATGCAGCCCAGTGGTCACAGTTATCCTACTCTTTTTCTCAAACAGAGACATCGCCAAGAACGCGCTGCTCCGCTGGCGGGTGTTCATTTACTGGACGTTTCTCGGCGTATTTGACGCTTTGGTATTTTTTTTTGGTGCTTATTTCATGTTCGAAAACACGACCGTGACCAGCAACGGACAGGTCAGTACTGAACAACTTGTGACTTCACTGCTTGTAGCAAGCCCCACCCTGTGTGGTCACTGTGTAGAGCAGTTGTGTGAGGACAGCTCAGCCTGTGGCTAGGGAACACCGAGAGATGTGGGTCTACTGAGCGACTTAAGAGGAAGGGCCGCATCACATTCGCCAGCCGTAGGGGAAGGTTGGTCCTCAGGTTTTCCTGGCAGGTTCACAACGTGCATCCCACCATGAGCTAATCCCAGTGGCTCTGTAGTTTCATCCAGCCACTACTCCTATGGGAGTTAAGTTGCGTGAGTGTTGCTCCACAGTATGTGAGCATGGCCCCTTACAGTGAGTAGCTCTGTAGTGCTCTAGTGGACAGCAGCTTGTTGTTTGCCTACTTTCTGGGGTTTGTTTTATTTGTATCTTGCTTTTTTCTTTTTGCCACTTGCTTCCCTTCCCACCTCAGATAATGACCACCAACACAAGCATGGTAAGACACCGTGGGTTTGTCCTCTCTGTGTTTTTGGAGTGCATTACAAATAAAATATTTCTTGAAAATATTTTCAAATGTGACTTCTTCTGTGTGCTTTGTTGGTAGACAAGCTATTAGCTATCCCTGCCCTCTACTGGCATCAGAGCCACCTGACCTGCAAGGTGTCTTCTCCCTGGGTGTCTGTCAAGGCTTTGGTGGAAGGGGGTTATTAAACTGACCCCATAGGTCTGCATGTTATTATAAATTAAGGACAGGAGGCTTGGTGGGGACCTTGCTTTGATGGCATACCTGTACCATCTGGGGAGGACAAGAGGCATCTAGTGTAGATCTAGACACAAGTGCTGAGCTTGGTGTTCAGCCCAGTTGAGATCACAGGTTTTGAGATGGCTGTTCAAACAAACACTGCAGTCGACATCAGAGAAAACTCCTCCCTTGAGGGATCTTGAAGACAGAAATGCTTTCCATTTCTCGTTTACCCAACTCCCATAATTCTCCCCCTGTTGTCTCCCCCATGTTGATCCTTCAGACTGTTAGGTTGAAATGCCAGGTGTCTGGCCTGTGTCCGCTGTTTGTTTACCTATGTATTTGTTTCTGTTGCCTCCTAACTAAAGGTTCTCTCATGTTAGAACATAAACCAGCTTTTACTGAATTTGACCCTGAAGATTTGCTAAAGTTTATTTCACTGTCTTAAGGATTTTAAGCTTTTCAGTAGCTTACTGTTATCTTATTTTAATCAAACAATGCCTGCAAGCCACCAGCCCATAAACATGGTGACAGAGTGGGCATCTGAATCTTAGGTGACTTGGACACTATGTCCCATAAATCAACCTTTCAGAGCATTCCGCCTTCACGTGTGTATCTTAAACACTAAGGTCTCACTCAGCACCCCGCTTTCTGTTCACTCCCAAACCACATCTGACCTCCCACTCAAGGATCATTCATCTGGTGGTCGCTGGTGTGGGAGGTTGAGGTAGGAGCATATACAGGCTGGGAAACCAGTGTAAGGCCAGGTGATGGTAAGAGGCATAGCAGAACCAGATCCTGACCCATGCCGGCATGTGGCATCCACCTTGGCCCATGCTGTCTCTGTGTTTCAGAGTACAATGACAGACATTCCCTGAGATGGAGTACTAGGGTGGCTGTCTGTTTTAGAAAGACTGGCAGTGAGCTCACTTCCCAGCCCTTCCCAGAGACTCTGTGCCATGTCTCCTGCCAGGCCATGCTGGCTGGTATATATGGTGACATCTCTGCTGCCATCATGGGAGCTCAGGATCCCTGTGTTCCTTTGCCTGCACTCCTCAGATAGTCCTTTTGTTCTCATTAGGTCTTGCGTGGGCTGCTGGAAAGTTGTGTCTTGGTGGCCCTGCAAATGTCCACACCTGTCATCCACAGCCCTGCCATTAGCCACTGTGAATGGTGTTCATTAGAACTAGAAATGTGAACAGAAAGCAAGTGTCACAGGCAGAGATGGGCTCACCTGAGTCTCCTACAGGGCTCTGCCACTGAGAAGGGCTTTGGTGGCCACCTTCGCTGCACACACAGGCTTGTCAGCAGAGGCTCAGCATGTATGATACATGTCTTAACACAAGAGACTTCCCAAAGGAGGCTGGCAGGGTGGACCAGTGTTCATCAGGACAGGAGACACTAATCACAACGTGTACATTCAGAGTCAGGCATGATAGGGAGTGTGCTCTGATCCGGATGAGGAAATAGGAGACATCCCCTTGCCAGACATCCCTGGCAAGTATTTCAAAGTAGTTGCTGACACCCATCTGTGAGGTGGGAATGGCAGAATTGGGATAACCAAGACCACTCCACAGGCCAGGGAGGCCAAGGAAGTGATCTGGTTTCCAGTCATGTACACAACTCTCACTCTCCACCCTTCCCCAGGCCTCTAGATAGCCCTTCTCAGCCTGAGTTAAGCTGGTGTTTGGAGATGTGAGATTATAAGATTTGCAGGAAGGGGGGGCCAACTAGACAATAGCCCTCCCTGCTCTGGGTTTACAGTTTAGTAATCACAATGCTTGATGCTCCTCATGGACCCAGGATGCATCTTCTAAATTCTTCGGTTTAGAAGTTCATTCTGTTGCCGTTAAAGACCTTTCTGGAAAGGTCTTCATCATTCCATGGGAACATGTAGTATGAGAACAACAGAGTTCTGAGTTTCCTAAAATTTGCTTATGGATCATTTTGCACTGACATCAAAAGCCATAAATATTTCATTTTCTTGATGCTAGGGAGGAAATAAACACTACACCCACTGACCCCTGGGGTGTTCCAGCCTGGTCTTCAAGTTGGAATGTTCTAGTAGTCGAGTCACACCTAGAGGACAGCTGAGATAGCTGTCCAAGTTGAGTGAGCCAAGCATACAGCTGACAGATGGGGTAAGGAGTTGGCGTAAAGGGGTGCAGAGGTGTCACAACCATGACTTTAAGCAAAATTCATTTCTGTACGGAATATTACTGCATATAAAAATTACATTGATCCCAACACTCGGGAGGCAAAGGCAGGCAGATCTCTGTGAGTTCAAAGCCATCCTGGTCTGCAGAGCAAGTGCCAGGACAGGCTCCAACACTGCACAGAGAAACCCTGTCTCAAAAAAACATAAAAAAGAAAAAAAGAAATTAAATTGACTTGGGTTTAAAGGCTTTGGTGACCAGAAAACACCTTAGGAGAGTGTTTCCCCATCCTCAGGGTAAAGGAAGAATCAAGGAGACAGGACTGAGCTGACACTAGGCAGACAGGTGGGACTGGCCCGAGGACAAGGGCCAAGACTGTCAATCAGACCACAGATGGAGGTATGTTGTTGAGGTATGTGTCAGTCAGTCGAACAGTGAAGGTATATCACTAAGGTGTTAATGGTTCAGACCATCTGTCTAGAGGTATTGTTGAGATGTGAGCCGTCAGTAGAGGTGTATTGTTAAGGTCTGAGCCAGTCATACCATCGGCGTTGGTGTACTCTGGAGCTATGAATCAGTTAGACATCTGTGGAGGTGTGCTTTCAGGTCCTGAGGAAGCCAGAAGCAGGGACCTCACTGGAGCATGCGATCAAGGGGTTGGTGTTCCCTCCTGATAGATCCTTAGAGAATCTGTAACATACTGGAAACAAACGAGGAAGTAGCCATCTATCCATTCCATTGAGCTGGCCATGACCACATTTCTTGGGCTGCTATCCAGTTTCTCACTTGAGATTATTGCATCTCATCTGCCTGTGCAAGTGGTGGTGGTGATTGTGTGTCCTGTAGGACCCAGGCCTGCCATAAACAAAACAAACCGAGGAGAGTTGGCAGTGGAGGAGGCATCCTTTCCTCCCTGAAATAGGTGTGGAAAGAGCAAGCTGCTGAGTTTACTTTGGCCTGCTACTGGGATCCGCATGTCCCATTGCTTACCCACACCATGTCATGCTGTCATCTGTATTTTTTAACTCATTCTGTGACAGCTGATGGCACAAAAGAACTGGGGTGGAGGCAGTGGGGCCCCTTCTGCCAAACACGCCTCTGTGGAGGCAAAGCTTCCCCTCACTGCAAGTCACCGTTTGGCCAACACCCATCGCTTTCTATTACACCAGCAACTGCTCACTCTCCAACATCCTGTTAGGTGAACACCTCCATGGGCTTCTGCCAGTCTACTGCCCCCAAGTTGTAAAAACATTCCTGCCCCAGAGGTAAAGCATGCTGCAGAGTGCATGAACTCTGTCTGGGCATTGGTGTTGAAAGCCAACACCACGGGGACCTGTCCCAAATATATTGCAGCCTCTATGGTTTCTCCCTACTAGTTGCAGCAGTACCCACTCTGGCGTGACCAAGTGGCCCATGTCTAGAAGCCCCCCACATGCATGTCTGAGGGCTTCTGTTGGTACCTTTTCTAAGCCTGAGGAGGAAGGCATTTCTCCAGAGTATGAAGAACAGGGCACAGGTATCTAAACCCAAGGAGGAGGACATTTCTCTAGAGTATGAAGAGCAGGGCACAGGTCTCTAAGCCCGAGAAGGAAAGCATTTCTCTAGAGCATGAAGAGCAGGGTGTGGTAGCATCCGTGAACAGTCAGTGTTTGCACAAAATCCTGATGCTTCTGTTCTAGAACTCTCCCAAGTTCCTCCTCCACTGACTTCCAGCATCCTGCAGGCCATGAATTCACAGAAGTCTAGTCTCAAAGTATGGTTGTTTCTTAAATTGAAAACTAAGCATAGGCAAAAGAACTGGCTTTTCCTAGCCTTTTGATTCTTTGTGAAGTAAAACTTTAAGAAAGTTCTGGGAACATTGTCTGAGAGGCCCAATTCACAGACCCCAATGATGTCCACCTCATGTGATGTGTAGGGAGCTGTTCTTGCAGAAGGCTTGTGCAGACCGGCTCTCCTGAGTGAAAGGCCTTGCAGCCACTGGCCTCATTTGTGTCTGTCTGTAGTTGAAAAATGTGTTGGTTCTTAGAGCATGACTCATGTCTACCTCCCACAATCCTACCTGTCTCCAAACTAGGAGGGCAGCCCACATCTGCCTGGTCTTCCCTCCTCATTGGCTAGCTGTTAGCAGCCATGGCTGTGGCCAGGGGTCTGGCTGTTGGAGGAGTAGCCTTTGTCCAGTGTGTGCCACCTGCCCACCTCCTCCTTGTCCTGAGGTCTTCACAGATAGGCCCTCCCTGATGCTGTTACCTCTGTGTTTTGGTGTCTCCTCTGGCTGTCTCCTGCAGTGTTATAGCGAAGGTGCCCCTCAGCTGTGGGCATCAGAAGCAGGTTCCCTGAGTTTGTTCTTGACACTGGCAGAACAGACATAGGCAATAAGGTGGACAGCCCCTCTAGAGAAAGCACTGTGCTTATTGACTCCAGCCAATGAGGTCTCTCCCTGCTGAATCTGAACCCTTGGACCTCTTCACAGTCATGTGCTAATGCCCAGCAGGGCCAGTATCAGGGGCCAGCAGGACACTAATGTGAGTCATTCCTGAGCTAGGCTTGGCCACTGTCCTGGCCTAGGGCCACCTGAACTCTTGCCTGTGCTAGCTCAGGAAGCTGTAGTCCCCGTATCCTTGAGCTAAGAGGTGCAGAGGCCATGGGTTATGCTCTCTAGCATCCGTGTTCGGGATGAGGGAGGAGGGGTGAAGGGCAGCAGGCACTCACGCCGACTCTTGTCTCCACAGATGTTTGGGAACTGGACCTTTGGGACACTGGTGTTCACTGTGATGGTGTTCACTGTCACACTGAAGGTGAGTCAGTGATGTGGTCATGCTCCGGCCATGGCCAGCCTGCTCACAGCTCTCCCTGAGTTCTTGGAATCCTAGATCCATACTGATGCCGATGCCCCCATGCTGGGCATCCCGAGCCATCTTCTCCAGTTCATATCCAGGTCCTAGCAAGTATACACTGCCTAGGAAATGAGTGCCCAGAATTGCTCAAAAGGAAATGAAGAGCTGAGTGCTTACAAAAGGATGCAAATTGAAATTCTCAATATAATGAAAACAGCTCTGTTTAAATAAATTCATGTACTTTGGAATAAATTTTTCAGAGACCTATTTTATTTTTGTGTTAATGTGTTTGGATGTGTAGGTGTACCACATGGGTGCCTAGTGCCTTTGAATCCCCTGGGACTAAAGTTACAGGTGGTTGTGAACTGTCATGTGGGTTCTGGGAATCAAACTCAGGTCCTCTGGGTTCGATAGTGCTCTTAACCACTGAGCCATCTCTCCAGGCCCCAGCTTTTTAAAGTCCAGTCAGATTCTGTGAGGAACTTCATTATGGAAGTCCCTGAACCCATCACACTGGGTCTTTAAAAGTATGAAACAGACTCCTCAAATCATCTTCTCAGGCAGCGGGGAGTCAGCATGGAGGATGCTTCATGCTTGCACACACCCATGTGTGTGCACGCACACATGCACACACATACAGGTGCACATACACAGGAACTGGAGATCCCAGGTGACTTGGGAAACCCTGGCCATCCCAGCTGTTTCCTCCTGTGAAAGCATGGGTTTGAGTTGTTGTGGTTTTTCTTGTAAGCTTTTGCAGGCACTCTGCCATGGTGTTTCAGTTTTGCCTTTTTTTTCATGATTTTTTTGCCTTCCTTTCTACATGCCTGCCACTGTTAACACCTCCTTCTCTTGCAGCTTGCGCTGGACACCCACTACTGGACTTGGATAAACCACTTTGTCATCTGGGGGTCACTGCTCTTCTACGTCGTCTTCTCCCTGCTCTGGGGAGGGATTATCTGGTAAGAATCCTTAAACCCCATCTGGCCCCAACTGCCCACACCCCTGTCATGGAGGGTCCAAGATGTACATTCTGCACAGCCTACAGCCTCCTGCCCTGGAGTGCAAGTTCCTGTCGGAACCCCTGTGTCCCTGGTGTCACAGTGCATTTTCGGAGTTCTAGCAGACAAGTGGTTCATAGTGTCTAAAAGACACAGAACATGGCGACAGCATAGTCTGCTCAGCACCTAGTGAAGGTCACATGCTGTATCATGTGACATGACATGAGTGTGGGGGTGGGGCACCAGCTCCACTCAGCCTCATCTTTAATGCTATGTCACATGCTCCCATACTCATCACCTCAAAATGTCCTCCATAGGGACCTGAGATTTACTTTTCCACCTGTTTTCCTTGGGGACACAGATGCCATGTAGGGCAGGGTACAGTGGCACATTTTTCTGTGATATTCTCAAAGGACCTCAGCAGACCCTCACATAAAATCCTGACTGAAGGATGCAGTGTCCCCTTCAGTTGAGGTAGCACCATGGCTAAAGGCCCTGGGGAAGGCAAGCCCTGTGACTTGAGCACCAGGGCTAGAGAGTAGTGGGAGGGGCAGCCACACAGAGTATGGCCTGTCTACATCCGTCTTCCCTTGGGTAAGTTGACCTTGCCCTAACCCTGGCCAAAGCAAAGTTTCCTCACTCTGCATCTGACCCTGTGTAGGAACAGCCTTAGACAAGACTATCGCAGTCTCCTCCCTCCCTGACACTCAACCAGGGGACCTTTGTTAGGGCTCCTGGAATCCTGCAGAGGCAGGAACAGCTTTGGGTGGCCTCCAGCCCCATTACACTAAGCCAGAAAGCCAGAACTAAGGTCCTAGTAGGCCCTAAGTCTGGGAGCAGAGGCATCCGTGGGAGCCTAGGACCTTGAGCCTGTGCATCTCATGACTGCTGGCACCCTCTTCTGAGTTGTCAGTGTAAGCAACAGGGAGCTTCTCAGAGGCTCTGGCACCCATCTTTGAGCATCTTCTTCCTCCCCAAACCGCATTCCATCTCAGCATCCTCACCCTCCCCACACCGTATCCAGTTGTCACTTTGTGCTGAGCATCCTCACCCTCCCTACACTGCATCCAGTTGTCACTTTGTGCTGAGCATCTTCCCCACTAGTGGTACCAGGAGGTAGAAGGTAATTTCCAGGTCTTGGGTAGAAACAGGGATCATGGAGCCAAGGAAGCCATTGTCAGTGTACCAGGAACCATCCTTATTCCACTCTGTCTACTTGGGAGGGAGGCTTGTGTTCAAAGCATTTGGTGGCCACTGGGTCTGCTGGTCAAAGTTCCAACACTGCCATGTGAATACTGCCACTGGTGTGAAGAGCACCCAGATGCTGGAGCTCAGGGATCCCCATTTCCCTTTGGAATGGCAGTCTACAGTTCCTTCCTCCCTTTCTCCATTATAAGACTCCAGGAGACAGATTCACAGCACACAGTGGGGGGTGGGGTGGAGGGGGTGTCGTCAGGGACTGAGAATGCTGATAGTGACTCCTTTAGGGAAGACTTGGGGAGCAGCATGAGGCCGTAGTGTCCCTCCTGGCCAGGCAGTGTCTCACCAGTGTCTTCTGTCCTCACCCAGGCCATTCCTCAGTTATCAGCGGATGTACTATGTATTCATACACATGCTGTCCAGCGGGCCTGCCTGGCTGGGCATCACACTGCTTGTCACTGTCAGCCTGCTCCCTGATGTCCTCAAGAAGGTCTTGTGCAGGCAGCTGTGGCCCACGGCGACGGAGAGGACTCAGGTATGGAGGCTGTCTAGTCTGGCCAGCCACTTTCCTCTCCCTGTCGTGTGATTGAGAAGTTACTAAGAGTTAATGGAAACGGTCTGGACATCATAAAGCTGGTCAGCCCACATGTTACCAGTTAATTCTACAATGACACATGTTGTGTTATATTAGATAAATCTCAAGATGAACAGTGTTTAATTGGATCTTTAGACCTAAACAATCAACTAAAAAGAAAAAATGAGAACAAAGATTAATAGAAAATTATTTTATGAGCCGGGCGTTGGTGGTGCACGCCTTTAATCCCAGCACTCGGGAGGCAGAGGCAGGTGGATCTCTGAGTTCGAGACCAGCCTGGTCTACAAGAGCTAGTTCCAGGACAGCCTCCAAAGCCACAAAGAAACCCTGTCTCAAAAAACCAAGAAAAAGAAAATTATTTTCTGTAAATTCACAAAAAAAATGTAATTAATTGTTACTTGATCATTGAATTATGGGCTGGGCTGGTGCCTGGTGATATGTCACCTACTTAGCATGTTACAAAGCCCTGGGTTCATTCCCTAACTTTGAAGGAGGAGAAAAAAAAGATTGTTAAAAAAAAAATTGTTATGTTACTTTTAAGGGTGTTGAATTTGATTTTGGTGCAGAAATCACCTTTACAAGAGGAAGTGTGGGCAGGGGAAAGGGGTGACTGTTTCCCACCTCCCAAACTGGCTAGCAGGCTGTTTCCCACCTCCCAAACTGGCCAGTAGACTGAATCCTCAGCAGGACCCTGCCACTGGGGTTGCCTGGGGGTTCCCTAAGGCAACTTTACCCACGGAAGTCTTTTTTTTTTAAATAATTTATTTATATTTGGTGTTTTCCTGCATGAATGTTTGTGTGAGGGTGTTGGATCCCTTGGAACAGGAGTTAGAGACAGTTGTGAGCTGCCATGTGAGTGCTGGGAATCAAACCCGGGTCCTCTGGAAGAGCAGTCAGTACTCTTAATTGCTGAGCCACCTCTCCAGCCCCCACTTACAGAAGTCTTAATCTCCAGGTGAGATAGGGCTGTGGGGTCTGCGTTTCCAGCAGTCTCCCTGTAACTTGTGTGCATCCTGACAACACATGACCTGTGTACACAGAGAGACAGAGCTACACAGCTCCGATTGAGGAGAGAACCAGTAAGGAGCCAGGGTAAGGGGCATAGGTCCCACATTACATGGCTCTACCTACACCCACATGTGGAACCTGAGTCTAGAGTAGAGCCAGCTGGCCATGCTTGGGGTGAGAAGCAGATAGCACCACCCAGGGGCTGGGAAGGCTCCACACCGCCAGCCCTACCTTCAGGTTGGTTAACCTTCTCAGGACTTGGTGCCCCCAGTTCTTCCCTGCTATATGCCTCCTGCCACAATTATAAAATCTGTTGTCAGAACTCTTACCTGTGCCTCTGCTCATGAGACTGGATGTGTTCACTCAGTGCTGCTAGGAGCAGTCCCAAGTTAGTGCCTCCTAACAGAGTACGACCGAGCAGGGCTAACTCTAGGGCCAGGGGCCCCCCTCAGCTCACAGCATGAGAGGCAACAGGAAAGGGTATCTACTTGCCACTGAGAAACCCCCCCATCTTCCCCTGTGGACACACACACACTCACGCACGCACGCACGCACGCACACACACACACACACACACACGCACGCATGCAGAGTTGGTCCTGGAGCTGTCCATGCTCAGCTGCTCTGCTTTCCAGGGAAACCACATTCATTGTTCTAGCCAGCAGTCCAGCACTGTCTTCCACACAGGCCCAAAGTCTTTGCTCTTCAGAAGAACAAGCTCTAAGACACACATGTATTTTCCTGACATGTCCAGGATCACAGTAGACACAATGGACACAAGATCATAAAGATGCCCTGTGCCCAGGACTGTAATGGACATTGTGTTCACAATGCCAGGGACACTGGATGTGTGTGTTCTTTAGGATGCCTTCTGAACAGAGGTGCTGTTTTCATGACAACATCCCATGTATAAGGACAGAATGAACACTCATGCACTGCCCATGACCACTCCCTGCACATGGGGATGTAGAAACACACATTCAAGACAATGTCTTGACACTTGGGACACAGGGAATACATGCTCATGACAGCACTATGCAGAGTTCTGACCCCAAGAGAGAGGCATGGCTCAGGATGTCTGTTGGGTCCCCCAGCTATGGCATAAACGCAATCACAAAAGCACATTCTTCCTGATGCCCACATGTGGACAGACTGTCCAAGTGTTGACTGGATACACTTGAGCAAAGAGTTCAGCTCTGCAGGGTGGCAAGGGCACCCCCTACAAGACTCCTGAGATTTGCTGTGGTACAGTCGTAACTTCTACTGTGGGACACTGCTTTGCAAGAATTTTCTGGAATGGCTTTAGAAGGTGGGTGGGAAAGGGCTGAGGAGCTTTCCCATCCCCTCCATCAGTGAGAAGTTTCCAATGCTGTTGTGGGATCTGAAGCCCGAAGAAGCATCTTTACTACAAACTGTCCCCAGTTGTAGCACAGGAGGCATAGAGCTAGAAGGAGGCAGGCATGTGCCTGAGTAGGGAGGAATAGACCCGTGGATCCTGGCCTGGCAGTGCCCAGCAGCTAGGGCAGTGGTGTTACTGTATGCTAGGATGTTTGCCTATAACCAACTTACCTCTTGTCTCTCTCTCCTGCCCCCCTTACCCTCCACTGCTTTGCCTAAATAACCACTACTTGTTCAAACACTCCGCGCACGTGGGCTCCGGACTGCGGCCTGCAGGCCAGGAACAAGTGCCTTTCTGTTGAGCAGCCCACCGTCTTTATGCTTTCCCAGACCGCCAGTGGTCTGAGTTTCTGACCAACAGGTGACCATCTCTGCCTTCTTGCATGTTGGGGTGATGGCCACTGGACCAGGTGGGAAGAACTTAGTGTTGAGGCCACCCAGTACACTCCCTGGTACTGTCATTCACCACCATTACCTTGTCAGGTAACACGATGCAGTGCACCACCCACGAGGGGTACACTAATGATGGGCTTTGTCTTCCTCCAACAGAGGCTCATGGCAGCTCTCCGTGTCCATCAAAGGGTCCAAAGCTTTCACCATTGCTTGACACCAGTGGCTCAACCCATAAGCACCTGACAATTAGGCAGGACACATACACAGTCAGTTCAGCCTGAGCAAGGTGACCTCCACATGCCCTGTTTTTCACAACTACAGTGGTAGAGAGCAAGACTTTTGCCAGCACACCCACCTCCAGGGTGCCATTCTTTAGTGTGGAAACTTAGGAAGGCCAGGAGAGAGTATTCTGCTTAAGACCCTGAGCACATCAGGAGGTGAAGTCATACTGTCAAATAATGGCAACCAAAATGTTTCTAGCTTAGTGTCATACAACCCGTTAGAATAAATTTCATGATTCCAGCTGCTGTTTACACTCTTGACAACATTTTAGAGGGAATTTTTAGGAAGACTAAAATGTCATAAGGACTTTATAAAATGTTACACATGCCAACTCAGGCTGCAAACACTGTTCCCTGTTGATGAAGCTTAGTAGACTTCAGCTGCTGGGGAGGTGTCACTGTGTCCTGTCTCCTGTGGCCCCAGACATCATAGAAGGGCCACACATGTACACAGGCCCTGCCACTGCACTTTACACACAACAGACAGACAGACATTCTGCTGCTGCACAGCAGCACGCATCTGCAAAGCTTTGGAGGAATAGCCATTTCATAGGCCTCAGTGGAGCCGATTTGACTTCAGACATCTGGGGTTCACTTTCAACCTGTTCCTAGTACAAGGCAAGCGTGACGGACACTGGGCATGTTATATATCAAGATGTATATATAACATTGGGCGTGTCTTCGCACCAGTCTCTACGTCCACACACTTGCAGCAGCCTGCCTGCCCATCCCTGTGCCTGTGTGGGCAACAGCGCCATCCTCTGGCTACTTCTCCTACTGGACACTTGCCAGTTCCACCTGCTCTTCTGCCATCCAGCCTTGTATTTCTTCAACTCTGAAAACTGCCTCCCTCCTCGGCACTGAGAAACTGGTGAATGAGGACTGGAAAGTGCTTAAAAGCTGCACCATGCCAGGCCAGGAGCCAGCAGCCTTCAGGACATGGCCTGTGAATATACTGTCTGCCAGGCAGGTCGTGCGGAAACCACTGCTCACATGCCAGTGGCTCTGCAGAGGAGGCAACACACAGGTGCCCATGGCAGGATGCAGAACTTTACGATTCTGGACACAACCTCTATGTTGGGAGCAGGAACTTGTTAGGAGCTACCAACTGATGGTCCAATCCCATGGTGCTGCAACTTGCCCTTTGACCATGCCACTTCTTCTCCGGGTACAGACTTCTTCGAATGAACCTGTTCAGAGCCATCTGTCCCCCTAGAGGAAGCTTTGTGGACAGGCAGCCCCTGGAGGCAGCTCTGGCTACCTTGACGGTGTCATGACTGATAAGTGCAGACCCTGCAATCAGAGCTCATGGTCTGCCATGGTTGAGAGTGTGGGGATGGCATAGGCCAGTGTAGTTGGTGCCCTGGGTCTGCAGTGGCCAGGGCACAGGTACTGGCCTCCTACGCTGCCCTCCATGCAGGCGGCAGCAGCTCAGTGTCTTTCCTCACCCTTGCAGAAGAGCGCCCGACTCAAAGCATTGGCTGATGCCACTTCGAACAGCGACAGGCCCCTGCTGAAGGAGTTCTTACCGCAGCCAAGACGTGTCTAGCCCAACGCTAGGTAACAGTATGGCTGCCTACTGGGCACTAGGCCGGTGTGCTGTGACTCTCAGACTGTCTGCTTTTCCTCCAAAGTTTTGGTGTGTTGCCCCCTCCCCTTTTTTTTTAACAAGAGTGATTTGTTCTAAAAACAAACTTATACCATTTTTACACACACACACACACACACACACTCACACACAAGGTAAGTGGCACACCTGAGAGTGAGCTAAGCATATAGGGGAAATGTTATACACACGTGTATATACACATACAAATGACATAGTATGCCCAGTGTTGCCTGACAATCAGCTGGTTCCTGTCCTTGTGTTAGATGCAGCTTCACTTAAAAGCTACTTGGAATGATCCTGCCTTGAAATCGGAAGTCAGGTCTTACATAGCTACACCGCACACGAGCCCAGTCAGTGTCTAGCTGAAACTGTTAGCGGAGCACACTACTGTGGTCATACTGCTCACCTGATAGTAGTATAATCTGGGGATTGTCACCAGGAGAGAGATCTGTGCTGTGCAGCCTCTTGCCCCTCCCTCCTGGCTACCTGCTGCCGTTTGTGCATGCTGTGGCCTTTCACAAGAGGCAGCACCAGCCACTTCTGTGTGCTAAATGTAGGCCGAAGGCATGATAGCTTGATGCTGTCAGCATGATATTGACCCCCGTCCCTGTGGGGCTAGGACATACTAACCTGCACAGGTGAGTCCTCTCTTCTCCCTGGGGTGATGGCTAGCACCCTAGTTCAAGGATGTCTAGGGACTTTGATCACCACACATGCCAGTGGTGACAAGAAAAAAGCTCAGTGTATTCAGCCCTTTGACCCCCTGCCCTCCTGTGTTGTCCCTGGCATGTGGGATGGCCCCTCTGTTGGCACTCAACAGAGGGTGTTTGTTCCCAGACCTGAAGGCAAATTGCCTCCAGGCACAGTTTGCATGGGATAGGCCCTCTCACCCTCGGGGTGACCTAGCGGTCAAGTAGCCTGGAAAAGTTACAGGTACATCAGCTGTTAGGGGATCCCCAGAGGGGCTCTCTGACTAATGACGGGCCTTCTGTTCTTTTGGCAGAATATACAACTTCGGGACAGAGTTTCAGAATTCACCCCTCTGGCCTCTTTGCAGAGCTGGGGTGCTCAGAGCACCAGACCCTTGGCTGCCCAGTGCAGCTCCTACTCTGGGAGAGCAGTGTGCTCAGGGTGGGAGAGCGAAGAGTACACCGTGCTCCCCCACACACACCCAGGCCTTTCCCACAACACGAGGTATGGGTGCTGTAGGTCGAGCCTGGAAACACCCACTTGATGGACAGCCTTCTGTCCCAGCCTCTGAGAGCTATGTTCTTGGGTGCCTGTGTGTGCCTGTACCTGCCCTACCCCTCATCCTCAAGGAGGTGGGGGTGGAATCACAGGTCACCCACTCAGGCACAGCACACTGCAATCTGGACTGTGCGTGTGACAGGCATCATTGTCCTAGGCCTGGTGACCATACAGACAGTTGGGCTATGGAAAAGGACATTATGCTTGGCTTCATCTTAAGCATTGCCACTATGAAGCTGGCCTTGCCAGGCCTGAGTATCCACCCTTCTGCTGTTGTCGTCCTCTGCTGTCACCTGAGGAGAAGACCCTGTCCTTTTGTCTGCAGCCTTGTACATTACGCACATGAGCTTGGCTCATGTTGCATCCTGATGTTCCTGACCACTTGTTTCCTGTGTAAACCATCCACCCTTCCTGTTTGGGAGGTGGTCGTATCAGACACTAAGAGGAGGTGTGCGTCTCCTGGACCTGTGGCCTTGCTGTGCTCACATTCACTGTCCCCTCACAAGCCATTTCCCTAGATCATGTCTGAGTTTGTCTGCTGAGGAGACGCTGACCATGCACAGTGGAGCTTTCGAAGGTGTCAGTGTCCCTTTCCTGCCACCGGCTGCCTGTGGAAGATGCCATTTATGTATGTATATGGATAAGTCGCACTGTTAATCAGGCCTCTCAGGAGTGTAGCGATATCTACCACATCCCAGAATGATGTCAGTTTACCTTATTGGAAACCATTTGTTTTGGGGGTGCTGGGAAAGGTGGGGGCTTGGAGCACCTAGGCAGGTATTTATCTCACCCAGAGGTGAGTCCCATACCCAAAGCTGTCTGGGGCTGGTGTGAACTTATCTGTTTCAGTCTGCTGCTCAGCCTGCCTCCCACTGGTGCCACACAAATTCCACCCAGGGCTTCACTTGGAGTGGACAGGCCGTCAGAAGGCCACTGTACTGTGAATCCCTGCTGCTTCCCGCACTGGCATTTCTGTTTCTAGTGGATCCTCCGACAGAGTTGTAATGGGCCTAACATGGTGAAGATGTTTCAGAAGGTGCCAGCCAGAGCTTAGGAGAAAGCCATCCCCATCCCCGTGGAGTCATGTGGTGGGCCTGGGACCATAGTGAGGGTCACAGACACTTGAGAGCCTATAACCTGGGAAGCACAAATTTTGTAACATGATTACCCAATATGTGCTCAAACTAGGGGACCAGCCGACAGTAGGAGCAACTATTGGACCTGGCAGCTGGGGGAGGGCGGGTGAACATAAACACCACACCAAAGATGGGGAGATGGCCTTGAGCTGTGAATAGACAGAAGAATGTACAGCTCCGCTAAGGGCTGTCCCTGGCTCCACACCCTCATGCCCGTTCACCCACCTGCGTCACCATGTGTCAGCCCAGGGTTGGAGCCCCAGTCCGCACTAGCCCTTAAATAGTGGTGTGTGCATTTTTACAGCCCTTTTTAAGAACCCAAAATGGGTACAAACATGATACCTACAGGGAGGGGCAGGTTCTCTGTATGTTTAGTTAACAAATTATTTGTAATGTATTTTTTTAGGGATCTTAAAATTGCCTTTGCACTGAAGTATTTTCATAGCTGTTTCTATGTCTCTTATTCATTTGTTGATGTACCTTCTGATTTTTAAGTATGCTGTTAAAGCTTTCACTTTTTAATTTAAGCATTTTTGGCCACTTTAAATGCTGGGGAGAGTTCAGGCTGAATGTTTCCATACCTGATAAGTGAGCTCTGTGCCTCTGTGCTCCTTGGTATTTCTAGAGACTGACCACCCGGTGAAGGGTGTTCTGGAGGCATAACCATTTTCTCTTGTTTTGTCACCGGGTGAAGGGTGTTCTGAGGGCATAACCGTTTTCTCTTGTTTTGTCACCGTCCTTTGCATTTTCGTGTTTTCTGTTTTGATTTTTTTTTTTAATTCATCCTTCAGCCTTAAACAGAATATTCTTCCTGCAGGCTCTGTGTTCTGCAACCCATCCTAGGTGTGAGGGCACTCTCTTGCACCTCCCCCAATAGCCTAAGTTTACATAGGAACACCCCAGATTTTATGCACACTCCAGTGTCTTTTAAAATTGTGCTTAGGAAATTACCAGACAAAGGTGCCTAAGAATTTGAGATAGATAAGGGCACAGGTGAAATGCAGAGACATAGACCAGATATGAGTGCTGAAGACCCTCCACCACCTCACCTCACGGCAGCTGCTTTTTACTTTCCTTCAAGCAATTAACTTCAACTCAGAGTAAGCATTTTCTTAATTGCATTGCATATGTCAACATCTGTGATAACTTCATTGGCCAGAATTCATGGTTCTGTCCCCTGCAAGCAGTCCATCTCATATATGTAGCAGGAGTCCTGGCTTCATATGTGTTCTCTTTCTGTTCCACACACACCCATGGCCATTTACAAGCTTGTATAAACATGTACACATATGTGCGCGCACACAAACACACCTGTGCATTTTCCTTCCAGCCTCCATTCTGATAGCCCTGTGCACAGAGGTTTTGCCCTCTGGGATCAGGCTAATGGGAGCTGCACACCACTCTGAGTGCAGGTGCCTGCTCCTTGCCACATACTAGCTAGGAAAAACATGCCCCTAAATCCCAGCAATCCATTCCTGAGTACAAGCAGACCAAAGGCCCCACCCAGGGAGCTCCTGGATGGGAGGAGGCTCTGAAGGTTGAGATAGCAAAAGGGGGGGGATGGTACAGCCAAGGCTGGAAGGAGGACTACAACGGGGTAACTTTGTCTTTACTGAGCACTTTTTCTAGGAGCAGCTGCCGAATGTCTTGAGTGTGCCATCTTGGTCACCCAGGTCACTGAGCATCAGCCAAGTCTCTGGTGGTCTAGAGAAAGCTCCAGCCTGGTCTCTGAACCCCAAGTTCAAGGTGTACCTGCACTGATTGGTACTGGACTCCCCATCCACACTTATCTCGTCCTAATGTAATTTATTGGCAATGCCACACAACAGCAGGCCCTGATGTTATACATTTTTTTGGAAGTTTCCCATTTATGCTAAAAACGGGGAAAAATTCACTTGGCGAATGCAATCTTTTTGTTTTAAATGCTAGAAGACAGGTGAACAGAAAGTGGTTCTGATACTGTGTCTAAACAAAGCTTTAATGAAGATGTGTATGTTGGAAGTATTATGAAAGTGTGATTCTAATTTTGCAGAAAAAATGTCTATCAATTTATATAGCTTTATTTTTACCTTATCAAAAGATACAGAATTTTAATATACAGATATTGTCTGACTTAAAATCATGTGTGTCTACATTACCACTTAAAATGTCCATTTACAATGTAATGTATGAACAAGAGAGAATCTAAGATGTATTTAACATGAATGGTTACCTGTAGCTATCATCGTCATAAGTACTGAATTTGTTTTAAATTATCAAATATAGTAAGTACACTAAACATGTCATTCTCCAACACTAATGTTTAACCGATAGCCCAGTAACCTGCTTTGAAAAATTAAATTGTGAATTAAACCAGATCAAACGTCTAGTGAGGTTTTTTTCTGTGTGCTGCTGATGATTATGCCTTTGATCCCTGCGGGCAGTCCTGATGCTCCACACCTCTGTTTTCATACAAATGTGTGTGGTATCCTGTAAGGTGCACACACACTTCTGCTAACAGAGACCATGGTTGACTTCTGTTTTCATACAAATGTGTGTGGTATCCTGTAAGGTGCACACACTTCTGCTAACAGAGACCATGGTTGAAACTCTAAGCACAGATCTGTTGGGGGTGGTCATATTGATGGGTATTGTGGAAAACAGAATTTCTTAGCTTTATTGAAGGGGGCAGGGGCAAGGTAGTGGTGTGATGGGTACTACACTTCTTTCTATCCCTGAGCATAGGGGGTGGCCATCCTGAAAGCCTGAATGTAAAGCCACACCATGACAGCCCTGGTCCGAGGCCTGGGGCACATGTTGAGTAGACCTAGAACAAGAAACTTAGCATCAGAGCCTCCAGTGTGATGGCCTTCCACACCGCCCTCCTGTGCAACCCGAGGTTATCTTGTGCCCCACTTCTGAGACAGCTCCCCTCCTTTATCTTCTGTGAAACTTGTGGCTCAGCCACCCCAGTCTCACTATCAAGCAGTTAGCTAACTCCTCCGTGCTATTCCCAGTCAAGGCAGACTCTGGGTGCCATGGGGGGAGCCTCAAGAATGCCCCTGAGTCTCTACTCCTCTAGTCCACAGGTGCTCCTGGCCCTGACACCCTCTGCAGCTGGATGTCCTAGATGATGTGTCAGACATAGAACATCGGGATATTGGGCTCCCTTGCTAAGCATCTGGGCACCAGTTCACACCTGAACCTTCAAAGTAGATCCCCTAGGAGCCAGGAGGGGCCACAGCATCAAAAGCCACTTTACTCACTTGAGCAGTTTCTAGTATGAGTTATCTTCAAGCTTTGGTATGATCTGCTGATGATCAGTTCCTACTGAATTCTTGGCTCCTAGCCATCAGAGTGGTTGTGCAGTTCACAGTCCTGAACTTGTGAAACTCTATAGCATTTTGACTACCACATGTATCCATGAACCAGAGGAAGGACCCAGAAATGCTTTACAGAACCCAATGCCTACAGCCCAAATGTGCATTTTATGCTCTGCCTAGTAAAGTAAGACTAGGCTACCAGTTCCCTATCTGGGAGGCAGGACAGGGATGTACCCAGCAAGTCTGTCTGTGTTCTCCACCTACTAGAAGTTTTTTGTAACTAAGACGTTCTTGGCGTTATCCTCAACCTTCTCTGCAGACATGGGACTGAGCAGGCACCTCTAGCTTTAGGCCACCTGTTTCAGGGTAACTGACACACAGTCTGACTGATAGTAACATTGGGCCGTGCCCTCACTGGTTAACAGGCTAGGGAGTGAGGGACATGGGATTCACAGGTGCCTGAGCCAGTGTCCTGCCTCTGCCCTGCCCAGCTCTACTGACCACTGGGGCCTTAGCTTCTTCACCCCACATCAGAACATTCTACATTAGGGCAATAGCAGGCAGAGGAGGGATAATCATAGCTGATGGACAGAGAGAAAGGGGCACCCAGCCAGCCAGCAGCCAGGCAGGGATCAGCCAGACAGACACAGAGGAATTGGGAAAGTAGGACATACAGAAGGTAACAAGCCCTGAGGCAAAACATAGATGACAAAAAAATGGGTTAAATTAAGTTATAAGAGCTAGTGGGACAAGTGTAAGATAAGACCAAGCATTCATAACTAATAATCAGTCTCTGTGTCATGATTTGGGGGCTGTTAGTCGAAGACAGCCTGCTACACAAAGTGGAGGCTAGTGGATGGAAATTCCAAGGGGCCAAGGCAGAGACCAAGACCAAATGTCCCTTCTGCATGTCTATTGGGGCTTTTCAAACCCCTTATACAGCCTGGGTAAGGGTTGCTCTGGGGGCTCTGAAGTGTGTCAAACTCTGGGATCCCTTTTGGATTTTCCATTCTCTTTCATATAGCCCATCGCTAGAAAGTATTGCATTTATTTTCTCACAGCTGGCTTTTCCTGCATGTGGCACAGAAAGGAAGAGATCATGGGTGAGCATATGTAGAATAGTTACATCATGCCAGGTGTTTGCCTGTTCACTGTGTTCCATTCCAGGGCTGCTGAATCAGGTCAAACTCTGAGACACTGTGGACAAATCTATCCTCACAGTTGTGGAGGATAGAAACCCAAGGCCATAATGTCTGGGTCCCTGCACCTCCCCAGCTCCTGGCTGGGAAATCTATCCTGTTTTCTGCTTCTCTTGTCACCTGGCATCATCCCTGGCCCGTGCCCCTAGGCCCCAGTCCTACTGTGTTGGATCTAGACCAATGATGGTTTCACCCAATGAACTGGATGTGGTAGCACACACCTTTAGGCCAGAGCAGGAGGATCTCTGTGAATTCAAAGGCAGCCTGGTCCACATAGCAAATTCCAGGCCAGACAACCCTAGCCAGGCCTGCTGGGAACAACCAGTCCAAACCAGAACACCATGCCTTTGGAGAACTTTGTGCTTTGAGAAGGAGCAATCTTGATGTGAGAGTTCACAAAACACAACAAACCAAACAAAAAAGGTGTACCTGATGGTGTCTGCAGGCCTGAATCCACTGACTCACGTTCCCATCGGCACACTGGGGCATCTCCAAGCTGATGAGCCTCCACGCCTTTCTTTCCCTCTGCTGCTCCTCTTTGCACAGAGCTGATCTGCTGAGATGTCCTGAGGACATAAAGCACCATAGCTTCTAGGCAGTCGCACCCTGCCCAGGGGTTGGGGTACTTGCTTTGTGCCCCAGGGGAAAACTAGGAGCTTGTTCAGTGAGTGAATGCCACAGCAAATCTCCTGGGACTTCCTTTGCTCAAAGAGACATCAGACTTTCATCAGAACCTTTCTACTGGTTATTATCTGCAGTGTTAACCAAGCTTCTCCCCCTCTCTCTCTCTCCCTCTCCACACACACACACACACACACACACACACACACACACACACACACACACACACACACACACTTCTGCAAAGACCCCTGAACCGACCTGATCTCCTGAGCTTCCTGCCTCCCCCTCCTTTGTAATGCTAATTTCCTGTGTCTTTTGCTGGGGGCTCCCGGGGCTCTTGAAGCTGCCAGGCACAAAAGGCTTGCCCAGCTAACAAGCCTGACACCAGCAGGGCGCTGCTGGGATGTGTAATGGCATGGATGGGCTTTGTCGCTGGCTGAACCAAGTCCCTCGCCTTGCCTCACTTCAGACTCAATCTAAATGTTTTCTGAATGGCAGAAAACTTACACTCAGCTTCCCAAAGCAGAGAGCATCCTAAAACAGGATGGTGCTCCAGTTTGGCCTGGTTACCAGCAGGTCTGGTTATGGCTGTGCTGGTCATGTTTTACTCAGACAGTATTCTGGTTGTCAAGGGATGCTTGCATGGTGGCAGGACACATTTCATAGTAATTTGTAGGCTCCCAGGATAGGAGCCTACCATTTTGTCAGTGTCACCTGTGTGGGGTCATGGCTGTGGTGCTGGCCACTACCGGTTGTGCACCAGTGGTGATAGCTGTCAGTCCCACCAAAACTCTATTCATGGGAGCTGCCTCCTTTGCACTTTTGTGGGCTTTTATTGCTTAATTAAATAACATTTAATACAACTGTGTAGAGAGTGTCTTTGATGCTATCATGGAAAACAGGAACTTTGCCTTTTTAAAAACAAGTTGAAGAACCTTATGTGGAGGTTGTTAGATGGCTCAGTGGTAAGCGCCTGCTATCAAGCCTGATGACCCGTGTTTGACACCCCACCCCACTCCACCCCACCCCCACCCCCTGCCTGGAACCTATATATACAGTGGAGAAAGCAGACTCCCACAAGGTGTCCTCTGACCTCACATGTGTGCCTTGTGCAGACTGTTTTTGTTTGTTTTTGCTTTTAAAAAAAAAAAAACTTTTTAAAGATCTTCCTGCAGGTCCAGTCAGGGCCTTTTTGGGTATGGAAGCCTCTCAGCAGCTCCTAGCAATCAGCTAGTATAAGGTAATGCCTCCTCCTCCCTGGCTAACTGGGGGAAATGGCCATTAAAGGGCTGGGGAGATAGCTCCATGGTTAAGAGCACTGCTTGTTCTTCCAGAGAACCCAGGTTCAGTTCCCAGCACCTACATGGCAGTTCACAACTATCTATAACTCCAGTTCTAGGGGTTCTTATGCCCTCCTCTGGCCTCTGTAGACAACAGACACTCAAGTAGTGCCCAGACATACATGCAGGCAAAACATCCATAAACTTAAAACAAAGGAAAACCTTTAAAATAACCTAAATACAAGAAAGGAAGGATGGATCAAGCAAAAGGCTTCTCCCTATAATCCTTCCCAAGCTCTCTTCTCCCACAGCCCAGCCTCCCCAATCCCTTCTCCCCGCTACCAGCACCTGTCCTAAGAAAGCTTCTGCATTGAAGACTGGGCTGGGCAAGTGGCCACTTCTGGATGGAGCAGGGTGCTGAGGCTTACCCAAGAACACTCAACCCAGGAATGACATTCCCACCCAAGAGGAGGGTCCTTTAGTGGTCACCCCAATCCCAGATGAGTGTCCATCTTGTCTGCCCGCTCAGCTCAGAGCCATTGCCATCCCTCAATGGGTTCAGCTATGGCTATAATTTCCCACACCTTTCTGCTTGCTTCCCTCTTCCCGCTCTGTTCTGTCTATTCAAAGAGGCTTCCTGCTTCTGCCCAGCCCACTCTCCATTCTAAAAGTTTACATCTACCTGCACATTTGTGATGATGCATGAATGTCTGCCCTGGAGCCTTGGCAGATGAAGGATCAAACAATGAGTTTTTTGGGGTGTTTTCTGACAGACCTGAGTTTGTCTCAGGCCACAGAGCCCTTCTTGTCTGTGACACTCAGAAAGGAAAGGAGGGAATACTAAGGGAGGGTAAGACTGACTTCTTGCCTTGGACTAGAGAACGGGGTGCTTGACCGTGTGGTGTGGTCTTTCTTGGGGATCATGAGTGTTCCTGTGTTTAGGTGCACTGCC